TCTAAGTAACACTTTACCTGTTCTCCCGCCTTTGAATCAACAGTTTCTTCCAGACTGGTAGCCAGTGCTTTTTCATGACTTGAAGTGACAGCAATTGAATCCAAATGTGCTGGACTCATCATTTCCTCTTCCATAAATATACTTCCATTAGGCTTATTTAGAGGTATTTTCTGAGGTGAAGGCTCCAGCTGTCCATGGTCTGGGTTAAGTTTATAATGTCTTGCTAATCCTCCTTTTCCTATGTAAGATTTTTCACAGGTCTGACATTTAAACGTCTTGGGTTTCAGATTGTAATTTGAAGAACTGAATAATGCATCCTTTCCCTTCACCTTTCCTTCTTCATCATCTTCTATACTCAGCTCAGAGTAGTCATCAGAATCAGACTGATGACCATCAGCCAAATCCTCCATTTTAATGAATTTATAATCTTTAGCTTTGTATTTGGGAGGGCGTGAAATCCGTCCAGAACGAGTTTTCACCTTCAAGGATTTCTTTAACTTGTCATCCTTTTGCTTTTTTTCAAGGCTTGGTGTACTTGCTGAACTGGCTGCAGCCACAGTAGGTTTTGGAGACCTTGAAGCCGATGCTGCGGCACAGGAAGCCCTCTGTCCATTCACCATCTTGGATGGGGGAATCTTGTCCACAGACCCGTGAGATGGTAAAGGCCTCACATAAGAACTGTGCAGGAGTAGTTGCTGCTGCTCAGTTCCTGAAACAGGCTGTATCCTAATTATCTGGGGATTAATAATGCCAACTCCTGGTATGCTAGATTTCCTACCAACTGGCTGACTCAGCGTTATAGTTTTGGACTGGATTGGTGCCAATGATGTCATTGGCCCTTCAGTTTCCTTCATCTGTCCTGGCTGAACTTGGACACAAATGGTTTCCAGCTGCTTTTGTGGAAAAAAGGAAGAGTTGTAATTACACGAATACAGTATTAATAAATAAATACAATATTTATTGAGTTAATACACACATTCCCTTAAAGCAAAGCGTGAAGAAAGCATCGCACATCATTAACTTTCCATCTTAATGCATCAAAGCACAGATTCCCTTCCTTCAAGCTACGGGTTTTCCTGCACATTTTCTGCTGTGACTGCGGTTCAACTAAAGCATGTAAAGTTTGCTCTGAGGCCATGTCACAGCTTTGTTACCTGCTAGCAGGCCTGTCTGGAGTGGCAGAGTCAATGCCATCACCAAGGCACATTCATAACCTTCAGCAAACCCCTCACACAGGTAAACTACAGTCTGCTACATAACACAGGCCAAATACCCAGTCCAGGACATACTATAACGTGTGTTCAGTTCACAAAAACTTTGTGGTGATGATTCACAGAATCAGATGTTACTGTTTATCTCCCTCACAGTTTCTCTGCCTCATCCAAATTTCTGCTTTAGTTCCAATCATTCACTTCACAACCTACTCCCCAAAAGCGGGTTGAAAGCCCAGGGACTGTCACCTGCAAAAGGCATGCAGCAACTTCCCGTTATCACCACTTAACCTCTAAGAAATGAGTTTTCTAAGCTGTTCTTGGCTGCACGTGTTGTCAGACTGAAATACTGACCACAGCAGCTATTAGCTACATTCAAACACGGATTTTCTTAAACCACATTGAAAGCTGTGCCTTTGAGCTATGGGAGCGGACTCTACACCCTAGAGCAGGTGCGACTGAGAACGGCAAAAAAAAAAAAAAAAAAAAAAAAAAAAAAGTTAGGATTAAACCCGCCGGAGCCGTGGCTTTCATCACCGACGGAGCGCTGCAGCCTCCCTCCCGCCCAGCCCCCGGGGTTACCTTCTGCGGGAGGAGGCGGGCGGCCGCCGCGGCCCTGCCCTGCTGCAGGGCGACCTGCTGGGCCACGCTCTGGAGCTGCCGGGCGGCGTTCTGCATGATGCCGCCCGCGGGGCAGGGCTGCGGCGGGGGCGCGGCGGCCGCCGCCGGCTTCAGCTGCTCCTGGGCCTTGCTCACTTGCTCGATGACCCGCCGGAGCTCCGCGGGGGCCAGCGGCGCGGCGGCGGGACGGGGCGGCGGGGGTGGCCCCGGGCTCTCCAGCAGCCGCTCCAGCAGCCGCCGCTGCTCGCCGGCGCTCTCCGCCGCGCTCCCGTCCGCCCGCAGGTAGAGCACGGTGCCGCCCGCCGCCCCCCCGCCGCCTTCCAGGGCGGCCAAGCTCTGCACCAGCTCCTCCGTCACCGCCAGCAACTCCGCGCCGCTGCCGCCGCCCTCCTCTCGCCCCGCGGCCGCGCCGGGGGGTGCCCCGCGGGTCCCGGGGGGCTCGTCCTCAGCGGGCGGAGGGGGCGGCAGCGCCCCGGCGCCGGGGCACCGGCAGCGGGGCCAATGGCGCCCCCGGCAGCGCCCGCCGCGCCCCCCCGGGGCGGGGCCGCCCAGCGCCGACGGCGGCTCGCGCGGGATAAAACCGGCGGAGCTGCACCCGCAGCTCCTGGCCCCAGTGGGGCTGGACGCGGGACCCGGTGGCGGAGTTACCGTGCAGTTGGGTTTGCCCGCTGCTCGAGCTGAGTCTGTACCGAGTCTCAGTACAAGAGAGAGGGACGTGGAGCTCCTAGAGCGGGTACAGTGGAGGGTAATGGGGGACAGCTGAGGGACTGGAGCGTCTGTCTTACGAGGAAAGGCTGAGGGAGTCGCGCCTTTTCAGCCTCGGGAAGAGACGACTCAGAGCAGACCTCATATCTGTGTACAAATATCTAAAGGGGCTTGTGCCAAGAGAATGGATCCGCGCTCTTCTCGGAGGTGCTGACCTCTGGGATACAAGACAACTGATGCACAGAAAGTTCCACCTAAACATGCAAAAGAACTTAACTGTGCAGGTTACCGAGCACTGGAACAGGTTGCTCAGAGAGTTTGTGGAGTCTCCCTCAGCTGGAGATATCCCATAACGGTCTGGACGCAATCCTGTGCCGTGTGCTGTACAAGCCTGCTTTAGCAGGGAGGTTGGAGGAGTTGTGGTCTCCTGCAAGGTGACCCATTCTGTGAATGCACGCTCCGCCACTCGCTCTCACCGGGAGGCGTTTCGGGCGGGGGAGCGGGTATCACGCGGGGAGTGCAGCCCACACGGCAGAAGAGAGCCCGGAGGGGTCACCCGAGCGCGCTGCAGCCGACCCCGCGCTCTGCCGGGCCGGCCGGGCTCCAGCAGCCGCAGGCGCGCGGTGAAGCTCGGTCCGCGCTGCAGCCGCCCTGAGCGCTCCAGCCCCCCACGGACGGACAGACAGACAGACACACAACCCCGCCACCCCCCGGCCGTGCCCTTGTGCAGAGATCACCCCGCGTCTCAGCACAACCGTGTGAGGTGGGTGGGAATCGCTGGGACAAATAGGAGAGGGGAAAAAAAGAGGGGAAGGAGAAAAAGAACTCCTGTGGCCCGTACGGGGATCGAACCCGCGACCTTGGCGTTATTAGCACCACGCTCTAACCAACTGAGCTAACCGGCCACTTGTGCGTTCGTTTCCCTCCGGGATAAATAAAGACAATCCCATGCCAATGCTCCACCCTTGGACTGCAGTAGCAAGGTCGACAGACAGGACGAGGAGCCGCCTCAGCCCCGGGAGCACCGGAGCCGGGCCGCGCATACGGAAACACACGCTTAACTCCTCAGCAAAACCAAAAGCGAATCGGAAAACGTTTCCCTGCCTAGAGAGAGATAGGGAGAGATAGTTTCCTGGTAGGGAACAACTGTAAGGCGGAATCAGAGACAACTTCACCTATACGTCAATAGGCTAATACTTCTTGAAGTTTACTAAGATATGATTCCAGTTTATTTTGATTTAAATATTTGAACATTCTTAAAAAGCATCTACTATTCTAACACACTGCTAGGATCCTGGTTTGCACGGACAAAAAATTCACCTTTTCCTAGTGTTTTGTTTTTTTTCTACATATGCTGCATAGAAAAGAATTTTCTGCTCACCGTTGAAGCCTACGTTAAAGTTTTTTTTTTTTTACTACATATCCTGCATAGAAAAGAACTTTTCTGCTCACCGTTGAAGCCTACGTTAAAGCACGGGATGTCTGTTCAGCAAGAGGCAAACACCGGCGGCGGGGACAGGGAGGGGATGACACAGCTCTCCAAAATGCAGGGTTTTGGAGACAGCTCGGTGAGAACACAGCCCTGGTCTCTGCCCGGGCCCTTCTCTCTGCCGGGCTGGAGGTTCGGCTGCTCTCCCCATCCCGCAGTGGCGCGCAGGATCCGCCAGGGATCAGGCCACCACCGGGGATGGATCTGAGCCCGCCGGGGCGCTGCTCCGGCCGCGGGAGGCTTGGCAGCAGACAGGGCCCGCCGCTGGATTTATGGAGCACGTCTCTTGTCCCAAGGGCTGTGCTTAACCCCTCCTTAACCCCTCACCCGCGGGCGGCTCAGCCCCGCCATCCCCGGAGAGTCGGGACTCCAATCGACACCTCGAGGCGAGGTATTTAGGGTTTTACTCTAGTTTGCGCAAAGCAGGGAATATAATAAAATACCTAGGTGGTATCCCACAAAAGTCTAGCCCAGTGATCATCAAAGCTTCACACTTGCTATACCTTTTTAACAAACAAAGGCATCAGCATTCCTCCGTTACCGACTACGTAAGTTTTCTATTAATTAGTACTCAAACCACTATTTGGTAGTAGCATCTCGCTTCTCATGCTAATGAGTCCGCAGACGCAGTTCTTTTGTTCCGGTTGAGTCTGGGGTCCCTTCTGGGTAGGTGGCCAATGGGTTGCGATCTCGCACCACCGAAATTACGTTTCCCCCAGTTACTGCTCCATTCTCCTCACTTCAGTCCCGGTGGCTCTCGTCCAGACAGCCCGTTCACCTTGGGATTGTCTTTCCTTTTCCTTAAAAGAAAAAGATTATCCGAGGGTGCGACATCCACAATGCTCCCGCACCTGTGCGCGCACCTGGCGGGGAGGGGCGGGGCGCTGCCACGCCGCTCACACTACGCATGCGCGCCCCGGCCGCGCCGTGTGCAGCGGGCCGCGGCGCGGGGCCGGCGCGTGCGCGGTTGCCGGGGCGACTGGAACACAACATGGCGGCCTGAGGGGAGCGTCGGGAGCGGGGCCGGGTCGGGCCCGGCCGCTCATCCGCCAGCCCCGGCAGCTGCGGGACGGCGCGGGAGGCACAGTAAGAGGGTACGGGGAAAGGTCTCGGGCCCTTTCTGAGGGGTGGTGCGGGCCCGGGCGCTCCAGGGAGGCTGACGGTCACCGACGGGGCCGTGTTCTCAGGGAGCACCCGGGCCGAGGGGGCTGTGGGGGCTTCTGCAGCCCGTGGGCAGCTCCCGGGTCTCTGCGTCCCACTCCTCCGCAACAGGGAGCGAGTAGGTCTTTCTCTCGGCTCCTGAGGGCCCTCACCCCGGCTGCTGGTGTCTCCGAGTGCTTTCTCGGGAGCTGCTAAGTTTTCCTGCTTCGGCACGCCTTGCTTTCCATTGCTTAGCATCCTTCACATCATGCCGTGTCACACCCTGCACATCTGGCGTCTCTGAGTGCAATAATTACCATGGCCTTGAAGCTCAACTTCTTGCTGCTTCCTTCATTTCTTTGGGTATTTTTCTCTTCCCACATGTATCAATGTCACACTTAAACATCACAGCTTTTTCTTCCTCAGTATCTTGGCATCTTTGTAACAAAGTGTCTGCTTTAGATTTTTATAATATCCTCTTTTAACTGCTGTAGTGCTGTCTTTTGTGTCATTTTGTATTGAATTCTTTAATTCTAAATGATTATTAATGTTCCACACTCTCTAGTTACAATGATTGGGTGTTGTCTTTGAGTTCCATTACTTGTCCATAATTTATATTTAGATTGTTCCTTATTTCCTGGGTTCTCTAGCCTCTTGCACATTAAACTCTTAGTCTGTTGAATAATTCATGGCCACTTTTTGGGGGCGTTGGATGAGTTCATATTGCTACAACTTGTTCTTCCCAACCTTTATTTCCCTTTCCACTAACGATTCTAAGCTTGAACGTCTGTGTGTGCTGAAACAGAGGGGAGGGAGGGGAGAGGTTACTTAACATCTGTTGTTACAGATGCATGAAAGAACTCTACCCAGAGATCAGGCCTCTTTCATTCTGCAGTGTTCTGTGCAAATGCAATTTGAACACTTCCTTTAATTTATCCTCAAAGCTTTTAGTCTTAAAATGCTCATAAAATTTTTAACCTTTCTTTCAGTCTTCATTTTTGACTACAGCAAATTCAGGTAATCCTAACTGGTAGTAAGTTTTGTTTTGTAGCTGTACAGATTTTCATAGCTTAAAGTTGCTCTGACCTGGCTTTTTTTTTTTTTTGTTCAGCATGTGTTTGAAGTCGTTTGTTTTGGTGGCTTCTTTTGTTGCCTTGTCACTCTCAGGATGTGATCACATCACGATCAGGATGGTGCTGAAGTGGATTTTTAAGAATCTCCAGAAGTCTTGGCTTGTGAATGCAAAATTAAAATTTGTTAGTACACCTGAAGTCTAAACTTTATTTCTTCTTATTCTATATAAATCTCTATGCTGTTGTTCTTACAGTGTCTGATTTATTTCAGCTGCTGGTTAAACAATAACTGATTTGTCATGTGATCATGATCATTTTGTCCCTAGGAGAAAACCTCTCTTATTTTAGTGACCTGTTTTGTTCAGAGTTTACACATTGACCTTATTCATCAAAGAAACATTTCAAATAATGCAATTTTTATTCCTGATTCCACCCTTTATTCAGTAAGCTGAAATTATTCAGGCCTTTGCTTCATTCTTTTAACTGGGTGGATCTCATAAGTGCAAGGTTAAAGGCTCAGTTGTTGCTTATGTGTGGGGTATTTATTTTGTCTACAGAGCTCTCTGGATCTCATAAGTGCAAGGTTAAAGGCTCAGTTGTTGCTTATGTGTGGGGTATTTTGTCTACAGAGCTCTGTGTTGTGAAAGAATTACAATAACAAGTTTTACAGGCTTGTGTGGAAAAGATCTTCAGTGCTGTAGGAGTGTTCTAAGATGTGCAAAGGATTAAGTCCTTGTACCATATCAGAATTCTGCAATTGAAAATCTAAACAACTCAAGTTGTTTTGAGCTCTCCACTGTGGTCTCAACTTCTCTTTTATGTGTAAAATACATTTATAGGAGAAAATATATAAACATAACCAAATAGTATAAACATATACTATCTGACTTCTTTGATACCTGAAGGTATCTTCAATAAATTTGTACAAATTTGTACAATAATGCTTTCCCTGCATTTCTCTGCCCAAGTACTTTGCTTCATTAACTCTGTGGCTGCTATGCCATAGATATTAAGCTCTCATTTTCAGATCATATGATTTTGAAATTTTTTTTGATGCTAGAGAATCAATTATATGCCATAGATATTAAGCTCTCATTTTCAGATCATATGATTTTGAATTTTTTTTGATGCCAGAGAATCAATTACTTGCATTTAAGAAAAAAAAAAAATTCAGGCTGGCCATTTATTAGAATAAAAGAGTAAATCAACAAATAGCTAACTTTTTTTTGTGTCTGTCTTGTATATATTTTGGCCCCGGGGCTGGCTCTGACATCATAAGAACATGTAACACAGCCAGTGTGTTTGTGACTGGTTGGAGGGTATCAGTTGCTACCAAAAAAATGCATTTACACTGAATTCTGAGAAAGTAGTATTGAAGTAGTCTGAATTTACAATCTCTATCTTATGTTTAGCAATTTAGGTAGGAAATCAAAACTTCGGGTGGGGATAGAGAACATGGTGATTTTTCCTGGCAAGATGTTGGTGAAGGCTGAGGATCAGCTCACCTGAAGCACTAACTGTCCACTTACCAATTTACAGCCAAAACAATTAAACTGTCCCCCATGCTGGAGTCTGTTAGATGGCCTCCTTTACCCACAATCATTTTCAAATTCAGTTTGTGCTTTTAAAATAGCTCTATATGCAAATTGCCTCTATGGAGCATATGAGATGGTGTGGCTTTTTTTAAATTACTATTTCAAATTTTTCAAATTTAGATGGCCTAATTAGTTAGTTTATGATGCATTATGATTGATAATGATCACAAAACAGAAGTAGCAGATGATGAAAATGAGAAGAGCACCTGACAATTCTCATGTAAGTGCTGCTACTGTATTGAAGAAAGAGGGGTTGCAAGGGGAAGGTTTCTACTAATTAAAATGCAAGTATTTGGCTCACAAGGAAAGAAAACACTTTTTTGTTGTTTGGTGTCTTTTTTTTAAGAAAGTAGGAAAGCTGAGGAGATGAAAAGAGAATAAGACAACACAAATGGATTGTTAGTTGGAAGGCAGCATTAGAATGTCCCTGCCTAAGTAACTTTTCCCTCTGCAAAATTTCTTGGCAGGCTTTCTCCGCTGTAAGGCTGTGCTTATACTTGTAAATTAAACATATCTGGAAATCTTCTTGGACACAAAGAGCAGCTGGCATGAAACAGCCCTCATCTCTGCTAGTAAATTCTCTTATCTTCCAAAACAAGGCAGTAGGACAGAAACTGCTTGAGAACTGACCTTAGAAGGAGTCCTCACAGCAGGCAGGGAAGGTGCCTCACAAAGTGCTGATTGTCACAGGCCCATCCCTGCCAGGTACTGTTGTCACAGTAACTAGTGACAGGGAGCTACACTGAATTTACTGCTGTCACAAAGCTTGAGACTCCCAGTTAGCCTGACACCCATAAAGGGCTGAGTATGCTAAGAGAGGTTTTCTGCCCTGCCTCCCTCAAAATGACTGGGTTTGCATCTTTCTTGAATAATAAGACCCGTGTCAAAAGCAACAGCAGCATAAAGCTAACCAGAATTGGATTTTGCTCAGGTGAAATTACCAAAAAAATTATCAAGGATAGAATCTGTAGGTGCTAAAAATAAAAGGAAATAGGAGGATGAGGTGGGTGAAGGGAACTAAGCACTGGGATTGTAAGGAACAGTTAATCACAAAGCTGAAGGAGAATAAAAGAGAAAGAAAAAAGTCAATTCTGATGGAAATTAGAAGACCTAAAAATTAATATAAATAAAACTTTTTTTGATAACCCATAGCTGCTTCATCCCTTAAAGTTCTGCAGAATTAGAATTGACTGATTTTTCACATCCTTGTATTTGAAGCATTTAATTATCAAAGCCAAACATTACTTTTGGCCCAGTGCAAATCTCATATCTGAATTTAATATGGGAATAAAGCTTTAAAATCAGAAACCACTTTGCTTAAAATAAAATATGTTTTAAAAAAACCCAAACAAATCAAACAATGCCTCCACAAAATACCCCAACAAATAACCCCCACATTGGAACAATGATTCCATGATACTCTTGCTTTCCAAGATAATTTTGTTTCCAGTACATTGTAAATAAAGGGAGTTTTTGTTTTGTTTTGGTGAAAGAAGCAAAGAATAAATTCAAATATGAGTTGCTAATATGCTGCAGCATTAAAAAAGGTAGGAAGGGCTGTGTGGAGAGGCATCATGTCTCTGAGCAAGGAAGTGGTAGTTTATTGCCTAGGAATTATTGCCTTCTACTTTCTGGAATATATATTTCTGTGCTCTGGGCAGCAAAACTTCATTTTCTGTTCTTCATTTTATTTTCTCTTAACTTACATGTTAACAAAATACCTCTTTTATTCAAAAGTTTTCCATTAGTCAGCATTTGACAAGTAAAGTAAGGATTGATACACAGTCTTCAGAATAATTTCAAACATACTGAAACAGTGTATTTTTGTTTTTAAAATACCAGTTGCTGAGATAAGGAGAGGGAATATTTTCTGATATTCTGGAGAAAGGAGTCTTTGGGAAGGAAAGTACTATGCAAGTAAACACATGAAGCAACATTTTGAAAGGTATGCATAATTAATCAAGGAAATTCTACAGAAAGCCATGTTTAAATTCAGTGAGGGAACACAAAATTAAGACTAAGTGAAGCTTTTTAAGTACACATGAATGAAAAAGTTTGCATGTGGTACAGAAAGGGAACTGTGCCTTCCTGTTTGGCACTGGGGGGTCACTTCCTTGAGTACTTTAATTGATGTCACCCACTGTATGAAATGGTGCCTGGCCTCTGGGTCGAGGGTGAAACGATACATGAGCAATAAATAGTTGATTTCTGCCTTGCCAAATGCCCTGAATATACTTGTGCTGTTTTTCTTTTATCTGTAAATAATAATTGGAGGAAATGTGTCAGTCCTCTCCCTGGTAATACTTTTTTCAGCCTCGTCTTAAGTACTGTTGCAATGCAGGTTAAAACCAGTGCATTTATCCTTAGTCAATTTAGAGCATTAGTTCTCCTTCATATTTGCATTTATATTTACATCCATCATCCAGATGTTACATGGTCACAAAATAGGTGTTTTTTATCAGTTAGGAAAATAGAGGAGAGGGTTTGTGTAAGGAGGCATAGACTTGACATTGTCCTCCAAGTGTATAAGAGCCAACCAGTGCCTCTTGGGTTACTGATTTTATATTCTCAGTTAAATATATCAAGTTCCTAATGAAATCACTGGGAATGACTCATTTGTACATACGAAGTGAAATGGGACATTTTGCTCTTAGGTGAGATTTCAAAATGTAACTCAGAGCTTCAAAGAATATCAGTTAAAAAAAGAGAAATATCTTCAAGTAATGTGGCTTCTATTCTCTGTTACATTGGTAGAGATCTGTTGGTCCATTTATACACTACCTACAATTGACAGAATTGTCCACTTTATGATCAAGACACTATTCAAACTGTTATTTAATTATATTTTGTATTTAAACTATCTGCTTAACTGTATCAAGGGCAGATGTTTACAACTCAGTGGGAAGGCACTGCAGACTCTCTGTCATCTTTTCATCTAAAACATCTTTTAGGCTTTTAACCCTTTGATAAATTGACTGACAAATTCTTTTGATGAAGTGAACTCTGTTAACAACAGACAATAACATTATTTTAAACAGAACCTGCCCATACATGATATTTCTCCTCATTTCAAAGTGGAGAATATTGTTTTGGTGTTTAGCTGTACGTCTGACTGGGAAAAGATTCAATTTTGTGTGCATTCAATAGTGTGCAAAGCTCTTTGTTTCCTGCTTCCTCCCCAGAGTTTCTGTAGCATGGGTTTTTTGTTTATTAAAGCCTAGGAGGGCAGTGAAATAATATACACAATAATTGAATAGTGTCTATTTTTCATGTGAGAGGTTTACATCAAAACTTAATTTTAAACGTTAAATTTGGCAATGCGTCCCACGGAGCAATGTTGGGAATGTGTGCTGCAGCAGCACAGAGTAAGCAGTACAATCCATACTCTTATGCAACACAAAATTCCTGCTGGGAGCTCCTTGGCATGGTAAGTGGTGTCTGGGGCACAACACATTGCTGGTTTTCCTCTTGGGGTAAACCCAGCTACTCCAAGCTGCAGGAAGGAATAAAGCCATTTACTAATTACTGATCTGCTCAATCAAGAAATCGGAAGCAAACAATTTATCAGGCCCTGCCTTTGAAAGTTCAGTGACAGACTAAAGTTCTGACAGCCTCATGGCAGGGGAAAAAGCCAACTGTAATGCAGTCCTTGGCTGCAAGGCAGTCTTCCTCTTTTCTGTTGAATTCAACTTCAGTATAGAACAAGTGGGATAAATACAAGCACTGAGGAGGCTGACTCCATATCCTGCTATCTTTGTGTTTACATAAAGTTGTTTTGTATGCATGGTGCATTGATTTCTTTCTTCTTTATTCCTGTGTTTGAACGATATCCAGTCACTTTTGGGTCTAGAGACAACATGTAGATTCTTAACCAGCCTTCTGAGTTTGAAAAAGGTTTCTCAAAATCTGCAGTCTACGTGTCTGCTTTTGTTAAGAAAGTCTGATGTAGCTCTTGCTTTTTGTGTCTCTTTTCCAACAGACCAAAATATTTCAACATCAGTATTAAAATGAAAATCTAAACATATGTTAAGCATAGTTAAATTTCATCTCATCATATGTAAGATTTGCTGGTGATTTCAACCCGCGTCCCATATCCAGTTAGTGCTTTAACTGTACACCATGGCTCAGTACTCTGGTTAGGCACACTCAGAGCTTATCTGCTGAAATAGCCTCTGGTACTTAAGGATCTTGGCTTGACTTATCAGTTTGAGCTAGGGATCAAAGCAAACTATTTGGCAGTATCATTTCAAAGGCAACTTTACAGACACCCCTGTGTGAGTAGTTGAAGTTTAGATCTCAGAGTTAGGCAGCAGCTGAGCGATGCTTTTGGAAAGAGGTGTCAGTGATGAAGTTGGGTTCCTTGCCTCATTAAGCACTTCAGTCTCTTCTGGGGACCTGTTCTGTCTCCCAGAGTGATCACGTTTTATGACAGCATTTACTCCATTACTGCATGGTACATTTCATCACTGTGCAGCAGCAGACATCCTTCATTACTCAAATACTTGACACAAAACTTGTTGACTGCTCTGAAACATTTTTCCTCGCCCTTCAAGCTGTCTTATTTCTCTGTTCAAGGCTGTACAAGTACTACACCGTTATTGCCAGTCCCGTTTTCTACAAATGCACGCGAAGGCGCTAATCGTGTCAGCAGCTTGGCTTTCTGGAATTCTCAGCCTCAGCTGCTGTGCTGTGAGCTAAGTGTAATCCAGCTGGCCAGCCAGCTTGCTGAGCTCCTGCCAGCTGAACTGCACATTGTACCCTCAACCTTTTACTGGCTGGGTTAATACAACATTGCAGGGCAGGTGGACTGTAATGCAATTATCTTGCAAGAAAAACTGAAGACCTAAAGATGTCTGCCTCTGCAGGGCAGTGAAATGGAAAATAAAGTGTCAGATGTATTACATCATGATGATACTTTAAATTGCTGTTGTCAGCAAAATAGTGATTCCAGCCAGATACTCACTGCCATGCAATAGAACACTACCGGAGTTCCACGTAGAAAGTATTTTCACATATAGTGCACTGGCTTCCCTCTCCTTTATTCTAAGCTTGTATCACTTAATTTACTGGAAATTTCCTGATACTGAACAGAGTGATATGCCCAGAAAACATGCCTTCAGAAAGCTTCACCAAATAAATCAGCTGACTTCTGCAGTGGGTGCTTTGGATAGTGTAAACTAAAACTATGATACCTCAGATGTAAGTTTTGAAACTTCCATGAGACTGTATCAATTAAAAATTAAAATGTCCATTTTAATACTGATTAAACTACCTACTTTTTTTCTACACTGTGGACAAATCAATGGGCAAGTTTATTTCTAGCTTAAAGTCTCCTTACTTGTTTCTGCAGGGATGAAAACCCTGGCTCCCTTTCACTGCTATGTGAATTTATGGCCATGACTGTTTATGAGCTGATAAAAGGTATGTAGCATATGCTTAAGATACATAAACTCTCCTTGTGTAGATCACAAAGTGGAATTAATTATTTTTCACTTGGTTGTTCACTGTTACAGATTATAGAACTCATAGGGAATCTTGTGCTGTACTGCTTTACCCTTTCATTTCTTGCCAGTGGAATACACCCAATTGTTTAAGGCATGGGTGCATGCAGTCCATAGCCATCTATTCTATAGTCAAATAACCTTGACTGCAAAACACAAAATAATTGCTTTATGTTACAAAAAATAAAATTTAAACAGATTCTTTGTTAGGTCAGGGCTACCGTGAGGTATTAAGAAAATTATTCCCATTTGTCTCAAAACCAGTGAATCAATGAATAAGGATTTTCAGTTTTTATACCTAGTAAAAAAGCCTTTCACTAAGTTTTCTTTATAAAATAACATTGTTCCCTCATAACTCCTATGTTTAAAAATTCTGGAGCTGTTTGTCAAAGCAGGTCAGAGACCATAAAGCTTAATGAAGAGTTCCTCAAAAAAAAAATTCAAAACAAAAGCTGATTTATATAAAATAAAATGTTCTTATATAAACAGTAAAGGAATTGGATACAGCAAATGAAGGGGCTTACAACTCATAAGTAAAAAAGGATTTTTTAAAATGAGTAATTAAGAATTTGTAATGTCTTAACAATTGGGAGTTTAATTTAAATAATTGAACATGCAAGTGTCATTCAGTGTAATACAATAAAGACTTGCTCCTGAACATGACATTGGTGACACTGACTATTCAGATCTCTAACAAAAGGAGTAACTCTGTTTCTGACCTAGATAAGAATGTGAGATTAAAATGGAGTTATTTGCTGATTGCTGAAGTAGATATTAGTGTGTAGTAGTTTTAATAAGGCATTTTGGGTTTGCTATATTTAGCATGGGATTCAGATGGAAATGAGAATCATCATTTCAGTATGTTCTGATTTTTTTTTACTATTTAAAAATACAAGTTCTTTCAAAGTTTTCCAGAAGATGATTATTTTCACACCACTTAGTTGTAGTAACCTCCTTTTCTATGGCATAGTGAATCAGTTCAAAATGAAATCTGTGTTCAGTAGTAATCTGAAATGCTGCAGTTAGGGATTATCTGAACATTCATCTGAGTTTACCTGAACTTCTGTAAATTGCTGATTCTTCTTCGTGGTCTGAATTTTGAGTCTGGACTGTGTTTACCATGATACAGTGCCTTATTTTTAATGTTGTATAAGGTAGTGGCACATGGGGTAGAGCTTGTCAAATCACAGAATATAATAGGAAAGTGAACTGGACTGAAAATGAATTTTTAATTTGACAAGGAGTATGGAGACACTTCTGTAATTAGGAGGACAGTTCACTGTAATGCTGCTAATGTAGAAAGCTGATACTTTTGTGTTTTTTCCTTAAAAGAACAAGAGATCCCTGTTACTTCAATCAAGCTTATTTGTCTTTACACAAAGTCCTAATTGTTTTGCTGTTAATTTATAGCAGAAGCATTTAATAACTGAAAAATAGTCTTGCCCTTTATTTAATCAACAGCAGTTTGGTAATTTAAAGCAATGAAAAAAGTGGTTGAGAGAGAGGTGTGGAGGATTTCTCAAGAGAAATTATAGAAGCCTTAAGTGCCACTGCCTTAGGATTCACTGTACCATTACTGCCAAATAAGGTTTCTCCAGTGATAAATCTGGAAGTAGAAGAGCATCTGCTCCAGATTTTTCTAGTGACATGTAATGAAAAAGCAATTGAGCATGACTTCTTTTTACAAAGGCCCAATTCCTTAAATACGAATAATAATCTAAATTGATTTGAATAGCTGCATTTTATAATATCTTTTCCACTATAAATGACAAAAGTCCTGATGTTGAAAGCACCATTTATCTCTATGGGGGCACTACTACTACAATTCCCAATGTAAATGGTACTCTGTTCCAAGAGCTTTGTGATCTAATCCTGCTCCGTGGATTATGTGGCTGCCTGGAGCAGCACTGTAATCAGCTGGGAACACAAGTCTGGCTCTGGGCTCTGGCCTCAATGAGTTACTGTCCTGATAATCTCCCTCCTCCTCGCAGCCAATTACTCATACTGCTGTCATCACCAAGATCAGTACCTGCTTTGTTTGTCAAAAATGTGATCATTTCTGCCTCTGTTGATGGCAGTGCAGCGTTACATAAAGGCATTGCAGCAAGATTAAAAGGCCTTTGGAGCCTGTAAAAGAAAAAAGCTGAGCACTTACTGAATGGCTCTGAAAAATAGATAAATTTTATAACTGTAATTATTGCCTAACAGGAACAGTAAGTTAAACAACACAGGTTAGCCTTGAATTTGCAATTCAGATGTGAATCACAGTCTTTTAACTGTTGTGGTAACTTGAGGTGACTGATACAAATCTTTAATCTCAAGGACAATTACTTTGAGTAGACAAGAAATGAGATATTTAGAAGTGAAATATTGCAGTTCTGCTAGAACTTGGGAAAATAGATACTGCAGGTAATACATGCAGTAAAAACTAAGGCATCTTACAGAGTGTTGAATTGAGCTATTCTGGTGCATAGTGAAATATAAATTATGTCAGAAGTTGAGTGGAAAATGAACTACAAAGCTAGCTATAAATGACATATAAAAGTAGTATAATTGAAAAAGGTGATATCAATACACCTCTGGAAGCTGAAGACTGATATGTGTATTCTATCTGTTCTTCATGCAAAAGGACTCACACAACTTGAAATTTTATTCTAGGAAGGAGAAAGCCATTGCCTTAAAAAAAAAAAAAAACAGGAAACATGTAACAGATATGCAAATCTTTAGATTGTGTACATAGGTAAAAGACCTGGTTCAGCAAACCAAAAATTGGTTCAGCAATATTTACAGCAAATGTAGCATACATTTATTTCAGGGTCTTCTCTAGGCAGAAACAGCATTGTCTGGGGCAGCTGCCGACTGCTGCAGGGAGAGAAAAGGCCACGGCCCAGATAAATCCGTCTGCAGCAGAGCCCTGGGAGGCAGCAGCAGCCAGAGCTGCTGCCAGCACCCCGAAGGAGCTCCAGTGCCTGCTGCAGGAAGCCTGCTGGGAGGGGATGGCCTTGCAACCCTCTGGTGGCCCTGGTGAGAGCACAAGCAGAAAGCCTGGCCTCCTTCCTGGACTTGCCCATTCCCCATTCACATGTAGCTGTTATCTTACCATGATGGTAAAATTTAATTTTTCACTATTATGTTGATAAGTTTGAAGAAAGTGCTGGTTTCTTTAAGTTTTTTGTTGTTTTTTGTTGGGTTTTTTCTTGTACATTGTAAATAAAGGGAGTTCATTTCAGTATGTTCTGATTTGTTTTTTGTTGGGGTTTTTTTGTTTGGTTGGGTTTTTTTGGGTTTTGTTTGTTTGTTTTTGGGGTTTTTTTATAAATAACTGGAAGCACTGATAATATTTATCTTTTTACTGAATTCTTCTCTCTGCTGTGTTTGTGTTAGTACAGAAATGGGATATTTCAGAGCGATGAGCAACAAGAAAACATAATAATAAAGGTAATTAAATTTATGTGAGGATATTTAACTAAGAGTGAGGTATGTATTTTTCTCGTTACCCTGAGAAGGCAATGTTTATTCATGAACAAAAGCACAGTTTTTTAAGAAATATATAGTCAGTTACTGTATTCCTGATCTAGGGGAATGAACAAACAGTTTTGTTACTGGCTAAAAACTGAAATGACTGAGATGCATTACACCCTGTATGTGTTCCCTCCAACCTAAGAACCTGTTCTTTACCCTCTGTTAATATTTCTTTTCATTTCTGTGTTAATCTAGACACAGGAAATAGGGTTCAGTTTTACAGCTCTTTCTTTCTACATTCAATTCCTACATTTAGTGGCAGTTACACAAACAAAAGAGAGCAGAAGATAGTGGCTTTCAGAAGATTTACTTGTAACCATCTCTCTTTACAGTTCCAGAAAGTTATTTTGCTAATGTTTGAAAAGCAAGGATTTTTAAATTCAATTTATGAAATTTTATTTTCTGAAGATAAATTTTTGAGGCATACAAGTGTACAGGAGAAGCCAAAGCCACCTATTACATCACTGCTAAACAGAACTCTAATAACTTAACCCAGATGTCCTATTTAGCTTTAGCAGCCTTTCCATCTGTAATAGTCCCTGTGCTCTTAGACCTTTCTTTTCATGATGTACAGAACAGTATTTGAATTCCATACTATGGGCACAGATATCTTCATGTCTGAACCCTTACTTACTATTTTAATGCAGTTTTACTGCTGTGATACTACCCCTGGATTTTGGAAAGTTTCTTCTTAAAGTAATCTGTGATTTCTTTTACAATTACTGTTTTACAGTCATTGCTTGAATATTTTACTATTTGTAATCTGTGGAAATACTTTATTTATTTTTGCAGCAGAACACTCTGAAGTTAAGAGATTTTGGATCTTGTAGGAGTATCTATTCTCAGCAGGCACACAGTACCTCCCCACACTGGTGCTGAGCACCTGAATGTTTGCTTACAAATGGGCTCTATACAAAATTGGCATGTGGAGTCCTGGCTGTGTTTTCTATGAAATCACAAGGTACTGTGTGCAGTGGAGGGTTTTGCTTATCATTAATCAAGATAATCAAAGGTAAATAACTCAAATTAGGAGCATGTGGTTTGGATAATATGATCTTCGTTTCCATGGATTTGGAGAAGCTTCTGTGCTTAGTGTGCAGGGTTCATGAGGCAGTAATCCATCTGGTCTGGCACTCTCTTCACCCTGTGGCATGTTAGTAATAGAGCAGTTCAAGAGAACACAGTACAAACAAGTGTGACTTACAAAGAAACATTTTGGAACATTTTTCCCCAATCGCTTCGTATTTAGTAAAAATGTATTTTCTCTGTTTTATCTCTGTGTAGAGTATGGCTCATTTCCTCTCATGAGCATCACAAACTATCCTCAGTCTTGTTAATGCACTTAATGGTAAATTTTTTGCCACTTTTTTTGGACTTTCTAGTACTTTCTGCAAAAACAGAGGAGATTAGAGAATACTCTTCCTCTGATTTACGAATTTGATTTACAGTATAGTGTATCTAAGACTCCTGTGCTCTTAAGATCTTGTGTGCTGGTATATTTTGAAATCAAGTTCTGATGAAGGAAGAATTCAGGAAAAAACAAATTAAAGTCTTATAAGATTTTTGGTGATGATAAAACTATAACTAAAAAAATTTGTCACTGGTCTTCAAGAAAAAAGCAAAAATACCCACCATGAGTATTTCTCCAATATCTTTGTGCCCTAGCAACAGCAGCAGTTCTTTATTCTCCTCCCACACTGCTGTCTCTGATATGCAACCAGGACTGATAACATTTGCTTTGCTTCTTTCCTCCTCCACATGGCAAGTGCAGCTGCTGCCATCACCATCACATTAAATGACAACCATTATGCTTTGCCTGCTAACTTGTAGAAACATTTCTACTTCTCCAGCCAGAAAACTGTTAAAAGAAAAATCCCAAATGTGGCAGTACTCTTGCAAAGTAAATTGGGACCAAAAGCTTTAAGAATGCCTCGTTTTTTCATTTCAACTTGAATCAGCTGGGCTTTGTAACTTTGTAAGAAAATTACATGCTGCAAACTTAAGTTTTCTTAGGGGAAAAACCCAAACCTGAAAGATATTTCCTTGTAGTTTCAGCTTAATGTAAAAAATTTCACTCTTTTCAACCACTGAACGTTTACAGAGACCTTACAGGTTTGTTCAGAGAGGAAGCAGGGATGTTTATTGGAAGTGAATGAATTACAAGGGATACAGTCTTGCCAAACTAAAGGCAATTATGGACAGGTTTGTTTCTTTTTCAGTGCCTCCTGCAGTTGTTGCTGTTGAATGGTTGCATAAGCCTTTATGCTTTACAGCACATTGTGTAAGAACTTCTAGTCTTTTATTCAGCCATGCTGATATTTCAAATCTTGTTTCCCTTTCTGTTCCCTATAAATCATGATTCCTGGATCACACTTTTCAGTGGCTTGCACAGTTGTTCTTGAATTTGTTACAGTTTTACATTTGACAACAGCACATTTTTAGTTCACACAGAAGCTAGTCCCAGCTGCATGTCTTGATGCAGCTGCACAATGTGAATCAGACCTTTTTTCTCCTTCCTCTAAGCTTTATGAAGACAGAGCAGTGTGCAGCCAGCTGTTTGACTGAATTTGCAAACAGTTAAGAAGAAGTTTCTCATGTCTACAAAGGGGCTGAGTGTTTTGCTTTCAAGAGTCATGTGGTGCTACTGAAGTGTTTCGTGAATTATAAGCCCAAAGAAAAAAGCAACAAGTGCAGGAAATAAATGTTACTGGACCCGACTAAAGTCAGATTGCTCTAATATGATAACAATGTTTTCAAGGACTCTGTGCAAGTTTTATATTAACAGAGGATCAAGCTCAGGAATGCAGTTCAAATTACCACCTTTCCAGCATTGCTGCTTGCAAAGAACCTGTGCATTAGGAATGGAGTGTTACAAATACATTTCTATGTGCATACGCAGCAAGAGGGACTGCTTGATTCTGCTGTCTTAAAATGAGGAGAGCACATTGTCTTCTAGGATCTGCCACTTTACTAGAAGCAAACAATTCCAGATCCATTGCCCTTCACCACAAGGGATGATCTCTTTACATATTTTTCCCCAAACCAGCAGCTGTGTTGCTCTGCTCACATTATCCTCCAGTTGTTGATAAGTATTAAACTGTCCACAAATTAATAATTCTAACATGTTATCTTCCTCACAAAAAAAAAAGTTTTTTTTAATCAAAAGTGACAGTTCAACTGCGTCTTCTCTAGTGCTAATATCATCTCTTACCTTGCAGTTTCCAGCCTCTTTTTCTTGGATGTAATGAGCTGGACCACATCTCAAAAATCCATGAAGAGATAGGCACTCCTGGTAACAAAACCCCAAAAGTTCAAGCAGTAAGTATACACTCCCATAGTTACTAATCTCACTGTTTCAATACCCACAACAGAGCTGTACAGCTGTGTGCAATTTCTGCTCAGGAAACCACCACAAAAACCTAAATCTGTGCTGACACAAGAGCAGTGTCTTCTATCCCTACCCAGAGACAGCCACCCACTCATGAACCTTACAGGCAGAGCAGAGGAAATCTGAGCCTGTCTTGATCTTATTTGGCCTTTTATTTCCATAGTATCTTTAAGGCCAGTGACATACATTTTTAGGAAAGAAGAGGGGTTTTTTTTAAGTACTACTTACTTTTCCCTAATGAATGATTACCTAAATAAGGTGAATTCTTTCTTTTCAGTAAATTGTAACCCTCTCTGAATATGCATGATTAAATGTTTTTCTCAGCTTGCTTAACACAGGTCAAGAATTTTGAATTTTGAATCCTCCCTTTAAAGAAAGGAAAAGGAAAGTCTTCTGCACAGGTCAAGAATTTTGAATTTTGAATCCTCCCTTTAAAGAAAGTCTTCTCTTGTGCACAAATTACCTTTTAAAGCTTTCTATCTCCTGTATGCAATGACAAAATGTGACCCCAATGAGAGAACTGCTGCCCATCAAACCTTACAGCACCTTATTTTCAAGAACTCTGGCAATTGACTTCAAATCACTTCAGTTTTGAAGACTAAAGTCAAAAGGTGAGGGGAGCACTGTGTCCATGTTTCAAGTGGCGTGAAATGAAATTTGTTTCCAGTACTAGTCCTTGTCTTGTCAATCATGAACATAATGCAGTCAACGTAGTTCTTTGCATTGAGTCCAAACCTTACCTAAAACACTGCTGATACTTCTATTCTTTTTGCCCCCACCTTTTTAAGACAGCCAATACATGAGCTTTAATCCTGCACAAAAAAGTAAGAGTAGTAGGAAATACTTCAAGTACATCAGTATTTGTGGCAAATTTCAAAGGCAGGTCCAAGACAGGTAGTATTTAAGTGGAAGAACTGTCAGCCCATTTAGAGAAAGTAATTTGTAGCATTGAGCTTGTTAGCTAGAAACAAATGTTTTACTTAAGCTGATTACTTGGGTTTATTCTGTCTGCCTAAACACAGATCTTTATTTGGTCTGATGCAGTTCCTCCTCCCCCCAAATCCCTGACATACACAAGTTAGAATTTAGAAGCTCTGATACCTCATAATGCCCTCCTAGACTCTTGTTTGAGTTGCTGTTACTTAAAGGGTCAGCTCCACCTTTATTTTCAAATATCATCATCCTGGTTTTGATGCCTGCCTTGAGTTAAAAAGTTTTCCAGATGAAGTGTGGCAGAGACAGGAATTATGCTTTTGCCTTTTCAGAGCTTCAGTCTACATTTTGAGCAAATAAAAATATTTTTTTTAAAAACTTAATTATCATGTATATAGATGATATTGGGGAAAATTATAAACATGCATTTGACATGAAATAATAAATAATTAAAATCTGATTTAAAAATTCTGGCAAACTAAAACTTTGTTTATATATCAACTGTGTGAAAAATACTCTATGTATTCACTTGCTGTATCAACAAAGTGAGGTGGAAGTTAGTACCACATGGAAAACTTTCAAATACGGGTTTTTCTCAAAAAAACCTCAAAAACCTCCACAAACTAGCAGAGAACAATTATAAATTATTTTCTGCTGTACATTGTTTTGAAAGCATGAACTCTCCTACAGGAGAAGCCACTTTTTCCACAAATTGAGTTCTGGGATTCATCAGGGTAGGTTTTCTATGAAGTTCCTTTAGGCAAGATTTCAAGAGACATCAAGTAAGGCAAGTAATTTTTAAAAAGGAATGAGGTGAAGTTGTAATTGGCTGAAGGTTTTTTAATTTCTCATTATTTGAGGGTTCTCTTCTAATTGTATTCCTTAAGATGTTCTCAGAAAGAAATTTAATCTTGTTTTTTTATTTTAAAAGCATTCTCTCGGGAAAGTAGGAAAAAAACCAAATCAACAACATGGGCCTCCACTGGGAGAATTAACAGAATTAAATTTTTCTGGAGTAGCCAAACTGATTTCCTTTCCTACTCCTACATTGCATTCAGTTTTCTGAAAACCTAAGGAAGGTGGTGGAACCCCTGTGTTCCAGTCTGTCAGATTTACTGATCAAATATTGAGGTGTAGACTCTCACTTGCCCACTGAAGCACATTTGAAACTTCTGTTGTTTCTTCAACAGTCTGAGAAACAGAAGGCACTTCAGTCTTCCCTGAAACATTTCCATTTGCCTGCTATAGAAGGAATAGAAATGAGGAAAAGCCTGGCTATGCAGTGAGAGAGACCCAGTCATGCTTCTTTGTTAGAGATCTAACAAGAACAGCAGTGCCTGATTTTGTCTTGCTCTGACAATTTGTAGGAAAACCCCACAAGGTTTGAGGGCTGGTTTCCTACCATTTTGATATTATGTTCCTGAAGGGGGTCAATATTTAATTAAAGCATTGTTCTGGCAGAGCACAGAGAGTGTTCTGCATTGAACTTCCTAAGTTCCTTTTAGAACCTGGTGGAGGAGGAGGTTGGTTAAAAATAACATGAAAGGATTATTTGAGTTCAAGTATTAGGAATGGAATGTTATCTACAGAATTTAAGTTTTCAAATTGTATTACAAATGACAGCTAACTGCTGTATTTTTTTCTTAGATTTAAGGGTTTGGGGTTTTTTTCAGTTAGCCCTGGAAATTATTCCCCTCGTGTATTCAGTAACTTCCACCTCAGGTTTTACTGAGAACGTGCAAATTGTTCAAATATATGAGATACTTGATTTTCATGCAGTTTCTGTAACTGCTGAATATTTTTATGTAACTATAATTCAAAGCTAAACCAACTTTTTAGCTGATTGAAAAGCAAGTAAAACTTAGTCATAGTTTGCTTCAAACCATTGATCTTAATATTAATCAAAAGTCTTAACAGGGACTGGTACTGGAGCCAGTTGCTTAAAAGAGCAGTGAAAGCACATAGCTGATCATGCATCAGAAATCTGGCACACGGATCATCAGCAACAATTTAACAGAATATTCCTATTATTAAATAAGGTAAGAGTTAAAAGGCAACATCCTTATCTTGCTAGGAAAGAATCTTTATTCCAAATTGATACCACTGATTTTTAAATTCCTGAGATCTAGAAACTTGCATTCAATAATTTGCAATACTTAAATTTGGTGATGTGTTAGAGAACATTTTGTTATTTAGAAAACCAAAGTCTGTGCAAGTCAAACTTGGCTGAGGGTTAAAAATCTTCTGCCTACCAAGTGTGCATGCAAGACAGGTTTGGCAAATAACTTTTTTGAAGGTTTTAACAGTTATTAAAGTTACTCTGCTCATAGTGGGGAAGTGATCATCATTCTTTTCCGTAACCAAACCCTGAGCTCTGGTGCTGCTGTTCAAAAACCCAGCCATGAGCAGGAGGCAAAGGGCATTTTGTGAGAGGTACTGCTGTGGGGAGCACCACAGAAAATGGGGCACTGGGAGGAGCACATCACATCCAAGTCACTTAGCCAAACCTTAGGCATCAATTTGAGATTTGTGCTCTAGATCCAGACTATTTATTCTAACCAATTAAGACATACAATGCAGTAAAATACAGGTTAATATCAAGATCTTGTAAGAGTAAAAATTAAGCCTGTTATGTTCTCAGCTCTCTTGAGACTCCACAGGGTTGTGTGTTTGTGAAAATAATTATTCCTCTCACTCATTTGAGCTCTTCCAGTAAGTAGGCTTTTTGCTGTGTTTTTGATAGTTTTTGTAAGAAGAGGCATCTCAACACTTGTAGGATTCTGTTGTGACTGGATTAGATCCTAATCCTTGGCCAGGTCAACTTTGGACAACTTCGAGCATGCCCAAATTCTACACTGAAGCTTTTCTGTGTGGAGAAGCTCATGAGACTCAAGTTCTTTATGAATCCTTTTGACATCTACTGCTTAAAAGCACTTGTCTAACTTATGTTTGTCTTCATGTTTAGAAGATGGTGTTATTATCACATACTATACTGAGGATCAATGTGACATTTGTAAGGAGATTCTTGAAAATGTGAAAATAGTCACAGGGTAAATGTGGTGCAGCCTGTAGGAGTATTTGATTTTGATTCAAATTTGACTATCCAAGTTAAATATCGTGCACCTGCATCATGTACCATTGCTCAATTTATGTCATTTCTTCACAGCAAACTTTCAGAATCTCAATAGCAAGAATGGAAAAACATTCCAACCTTGGCAAGAATTTGTATAGAATTTTGCACTTTGTTCAATTTGCACTTGAACAAGGCTCTGCAGGGAAACCTCTACTGCTGCTACTTGCACTAGGTGTGCCAAAGGAAGAGCACATTTCTCTTACTAGGACTGAACAAACACATGAGCCGAGTTTTAGTGGAGGAAGTGCTTTCCACCAGTAGAGTGAAAACACTGTAACAAAGGGAAACAGGAGAACACAGTGGTACAGCTGACTGCTCCTTGTCATTTTATTGAAACTCCTACTGCATGGATGCTGCTTTCCCCCAGTTCCAAGCAAAAAGTGTTCTCCTGAACACAGTATCTCCAAGAGCAGTGAAGGTATGTAAAACCACAGTGACTGGCTGAAGTTTCCTGCTCTGTTACATTTCAGTGAATCATCTCCCCACATCTGTATGCTTTCATGTTAGCAGCTCATACTGATAGAACGGAGAACTTCAACAAAAGGCAATAGAGTATTTGTCTCAATACTTACCATAGGGATTTTTTATAGACAGACAGATGTGTGAAAGGTATGATGCTACACTTGGAAAATGAAATTAAGGACTGCAGGTCTATAGGCAGGCAACACAGTGCAACAGCAACCTCCAAGTTCTTACCTTTGGAACACTGAGCAAAAGGTGCCATGAGCTTATCCAGGGTTTTTTCCAGAGAGGAAGATGGTGAGTTGCTTAGTGCTGATATATTTGGAGTGAGCATAATGAGTAGCATTAAAAGTGATGGTCTAAAAATAGGTAACTAACTGGATCCAAGGGAGCTTACTCTCCACTGTTGTTAATTTCTTACAAAAAAAAAAAGGACAAATCCTACTACCCAAATTTGGTGGATTGTTCTGACTCAGATCTCCCTTACCTAGCACTATACAGGAGGTCAAAACTCAGATTATCAAAACTATATTCTTGATGGAGATATATTTATTGTATTTGATGCTTCCCATAATCAGTTTCTGGAAGCCTCAAATCACAGATGCTGAAGTTTAAGTATTTTGACTAAAAAATATAAAATTCCATCAAACTGCGTTCTTAATGATTTCAAAAGTGTTATTGCCACTGTTTGCTTCCCTCATTAATACGTACACCAGGTAGGTGATTATTCATACACTAGGAAAAAGATGAAGTCAGAATTTTTGTAAGTTTTAACCTGGAAAAAAAGGGCTACCAGAATAACATCTGGTGTATTATCACATTCTGTGTATCTGAGGCTGTCCAACTGTTATAATGGGAATGGCAATTTCATGTTCAACAGATCATTTTCGCTATAAAATTGCAAATCTGAAGTGAAGAACCACATTGGAATTTTTCTTCATGTTGTTATACTTTCAGGTGGATCTTACTCAGTTTGGCACATACAGTACTTCAAGGATATTGATTTCATAACAAGTTCCTCGCTGTTAAACATCTGGAGACAATTTACACTTCTCTGGCTGTTGGATGAATAGGCAAACTTGAGTTTTCCCACGTGCTTTATAGTTAAAATACACCCAAACTTTAAACTACAAACTGGCAAGTATAGTTCCTACCCTCATTCTTCCAGCTAAAATTCCATACTGAGATTATCTGTGTTCTGCTCACTTTTAATTATTTTTTAATGTAGTAGGAAAAATATTTTTATTAAAAACTGTATCTACAGTAGAGGTCTTAAGTTCCCTCCAGGTAAGTTATTAGTATCCTGTTTCTTACTAAAATAATTTTTTTCCATATGGAATAGAGTGTGATATGGGCAATTCAAGCTTCTAGATGACTGCCCTAATAGTAAAGAAGAGGCTGAAAAAAGAAAACCCACACACATTCCTTGTGTGCTGCTGGACATACCCTGCCAACACGGATGTGAGTAGCTGCTGTTGTTCCCCTGATGCTGGATATTGCAATTCTTTTCCTACTGGTTTTGTATTTTTCCAGCTGAAGGAAAAAGTCTTTTAAAGTTACTGCATATTTCTTCAACTGTTTCATTTTGACTCAGACCATATGAAGCACTTACACAGAAGAAGTCTACGGGGAGATAACTACACTAGTTTTCAGTGATGAGGTTTATCTGTACTTTAACAGTTAAACCCACTATGTTAATAAAACAAAACTTCTGAAAAATAATCCTGCTCAGTTTCAGTATTTTCCCCATTCCTCATATTTTAGAAGAAGACAGATAAGAATTGTAAAGCACAGCTACATCTTGAATAAAGTAGGGAGCTAATTCCCAGTTTATAAACAGATCTGGCAGTTCTCTACATGCTGGCTGCTTTGCAAGGGTGAGACTTAGCTAAAGCTACTGCAGTTGCTTCTCCCCAAATGTTCATTCATTTCCTGAAAACAAATCACTTTTCATGCCAGAAAATATCCTAAGATTACTTGTAATTAAAAGAATTCTACTCAGCTTTGTTGGAGAGCAGGAAGGGCACTAACTTGTGCCCACAGACACAGTATGTGCACCCTCAGGCAAGTTCATGGTTCTGGGCAAGCAGCCTCTGTTCTACTCTGCCTGCAGCATTCTGCAAATCCCAGCTGTGAACGTTGCTGCATAATAAGGGAAGCATATGATGGATTCTTCTATTCTCTGTCAGTCTGGGGCTGGACATGGAGGGTTAGTCTTTGCAAGAACTACTGAAAACAAGTTAAGTGGTGTGTTGACTGATTAAAAATGACAAGCAACATTAACCTCTGCAAATCCACACTTATGGATGTCTATCCCCATCACACTTATCAGTTTAAGACCATTGAATTATAAATGAGATGCCTGATGTAAGACAAATGAGTCTCAGAAATGCTACTCCAATATGTCAGCCCAGTTTCTGATGGACAAGTCAGAAAGTGTGTACAGCTACTGCTGTGGGATCTTCCACTTCCCAGCTCCACATGCACGGGACCACACAATAACAAAATCCTTACCCCGTGAAGTTGCCTGTCTGTGAAATTGCTGCTGTGTGATGTATTTAAACTGCAGGATGTGTTTGGGGATAAGCCATTAAGAACAAGAACAGAACAACTGTATTTCACTTTCCTAACTGAAATTCAATTCTATTAAATATGAAGCAATGTTCTAGGTAAGATATTTTTGAAAGGAATTTGTTCTACAAAGTTTAGGTAGTATTTCTGTACCAAACATTTAATTCAGCAAAGAACTGGTTACATCAAAAGTGATTGGATTTGAACAGAAAGTAAACAAAAATGCATATTCAAGATAGTTTAATATGTATTTTCTGAATTAGAAATATCACTTTCTTAAATGAATGAGAATTTCTAGTGTAATGATCCATTCCTCCCATCCCCCATCACTGAATTACATTATTTATACATATAATACAGAGCCCATTGCAGTTGGAAACAACAATATTAAAATAAATGTTTAATAGATACAAAGGATCTTTTCTCCACAACATAGTTTTTCTGGTGTCTGGACACCAATTTTAAAGTAATTCTCTATAAGCATTAAACTATTTAAGTGCAAAACAATTTTTTTTAAAAAAATCTATGATTGCAGCATCCATCTTCCTGAAAAACATTTTGAAGCCAGAAAGTAATGACTTTCATTTTCCATGAGTGCATTCCAGGCTGTCTTCTAGCCATCTCTGGTTAAAAAAATCAGTGCAAAATAAACAATGGTGAAGTACTAGTTTAACCATTGAACTTACTTGAATTTAAGAAACATATCTTATTTTACACTATATATATATATATATATGTATATCTTTTATTTATATATTTATAGAGAGATTAAATTACACTGGACTTGAAAAGTATAAAGAAAACAAAAATGTTACTACTTTTTCCTGCAGTACTAAAGGAAGCTTTTTGCTTTTTCTCCAATGCAAACTCTTCCTTGGGTGAGCAGCCTAGCAGGATCAGCTGTAGTGAGAACTCCTTACATTTGTCCTTTGCAAGTCACTATGTGATTCACATAATTCCATGTTTACACTCTGCCACATTATAATTTGTGATGCTCTTTGCCTGAAGAACAGCTCCTGGTTCCACTGCCATTACTTCTTGTCCTGTGTTCAGAGATTTGCTAGCAGTAGTGTGATGGCTATACTACAGTTCCACTTGGAGAATTGGCCTGGTTTTGGGATGACAATAAACCCTGCAAACAAAGCAGTTTACATTAATCCAGCAAGAGAACCTGACATGAATTTTATAAAGTTCTTAACCTGAACCTACAACGAGTACAGTCGATTTTTACCAACACTTGCTTATTACTTCAGACATCAGCACCTTCTCTCCTACAAAGGCTCTAAGCCACCACGATCTCACCAAGCAGCGCACAAAGAGCTCTCAGACAGGAAGAACCACGTGCGTTCATAACACGGAATGGATCTGATCCCAGCATTTGGTTTAATCTACCTTGCACTTGGAGTCATAGTGAACTGTGAAACTTTAAAAATCATACACCAAAAATGATCAGCATTTTACTGGGGTGGTGTCAAAACCTATTCCATTATCAATATGTTTGACACCTGACCTGATACAGGGAAACACTCCATCTCTTATGTGTGGTTGAGTATTACAAGGTTTGAATAGAAAAACAGATCATCTAACCAAATATTTGTTTTGGTAATTTTAAAACAGAATGAAACCCTCACAAGAGTTCAGTAGAGATTTCCTATTACAATTTAAGTTCACACTCAGGAAAACTTGGTACCAGCTCTTCTAACTACCCTGCCATTCAAATCCAGAGACTTATTTCACACACGGCCCCACGGCTGCGCGGTGCCCCTCACTACACAGAGGCTGCTGCTCCGGGTTTCAGATTAAACCCCTGCGTACCACTGGACAGACTCCATTTCAGACTTATGCATAGTAGCCACTTTTTAATAATTCAACTAAAAGTAACTTTATCAGGCTTACTTAGGAAAAGGATAGTGTCAAAATACAATTTAGCCTTTTAAGGTCATTAGTTAGTTGTACCTAGTGCCAGCAGGCCAAGGAGCATGCTGGCAGCTGGAACTGGCAGCTGGAAGCACACCAGCAAATATCCCCATGCAACTCCTCACCTGGTAGGTATGATAAATGCACTTTCAGCAACTCCTCTAAGCAGCTCCCAGCTTATGTTCTTACCTCAAAATTAAGATTCTGGGACTCAGATCCATCAAACTAGACAAGATCAGGCAGCAATTAGCATACAGAAAAAGAGAGAATTATGTCACTTCTTCAGAATCTACAGGAGCTCTTTCAAACTTGGATCCAAGAACTGAGAGGTCATGATGATGGAAGTAAACCTGACCTCAGAAGAGGAGGAAAGAGGGGAAAGAGGGCCAGACTAGATTCAAGTCATCAAATTCCTGTTAAAACCAAAGCCTTTCTTTTTAAAAGAACATCTAATAATTTCAAACATGTCATGAACCTAGATAGTTTGTAGGATTTATGACAGACTGCATTTGCATATGGTCCATGTAACATTTATATATAACAAACCACATGGAACTTAACCTGGTGCCTTCCATAGACCTCACCTGATGGAACCTGAACATCTTTATTTGTATTTGTTTATGCAGGGATATCTGATTAAAACACTATTGAGGTAGACTGAAGTGGGTTGTTCTTTACATTTGACATTCAGGATGTGCAAAGATCTTGCATATTTCATGAGAACAAAAAGTTTCCTAGTTATTTCTTAAGGACTAGATGGTGAAAGAAGGCAGAACTTTAGAACAAACAAGCCACTGAAGCACTACTGAAATTTTTACCAGGGAAGTTTTGTTGCAAAGTGACAAAGTTGAATCAGAATTCACTAGTTCATTACTGAAGCATTCTTCACAAGTCTATTAAATCCAGCAGCAACTGGAAGGTCTTTCTTGTCAGAAGATTACATCCACTAAGCAACTTTGAAGTACCCTGGAAAAAGACGTCCAAAGGTATTATTTTCAGTTTTAATTAAATCAGCAATCCAAACTGTTCATATCAAATATGTGCTTTATAAGCACACAGGAAGCTCTAGGGACGGCATAATGTCAAGTCTTTTTCAACAGGCTCATAACCACCCTATACAGGAGAAATAAGCTCTATTCTAGCATTGGATTTACATTGTAACACAACCAATTCTTGGGAAACAAAATGAAGTTCTTTTCCTAGGATTCCTCCAGAAACTGGCAGCACATACTGCAATTCAGTGTGATGCCTCATTCCCCGTGAACTATCAGCCATTCTAGAATGCAAGTTCCAAGACTAGGAACAAGGAGTCAGTCCTGGTTACATCTCATAGGTGGTGAATGCTCCCTGCTGTGAAGAGCAGCAGCTCAGTGCAGATGGCTTTCAGTGAGTACTAGGAATTCCTTCTATTTCAGTCCTTGCTCTGAATTAATTCTGCAACTCTGAGCAGGCAAGCCAGAGGAACACTGAAGTGGAAATAACCTCAAGACCAATATCCTTGTGCTTCTGCAGATGGAACAAATGTATGCAAGTACTGCCTTAAAACTTGGACTAGGCTATGATGCCATTCAGAAATTCGCTCCTAGGGGAGAGACCAGAAAGTTTGTGAGTTCTTCCAAGCACTTGATTTCGGAAGACATCTTAAATGTTCATACAAGAAAAGCAAGAGTATGAATTTGGTTTTTAGGCACGTAAGTTTCACCAAAGGTGGTGAGTTCTCAGTGGGTCCTGATTAAAACAAAAATTCTACAGCATTTTGCCATTGTTTCAGAGCCTTCCAAGCAAGGCTATTAACAAGGTTGTGTTTGGTGATAGAGGAAAACAACCTAAGAAAAGCAAGTTAGGGCTCAAATAAAGTTACTGCTTTGATACAAAAGTTCACAGTAAATCTCATCTGTGATACAAAGAGTGTGGGATTGGAACAGTTGTAGTTACATTCTCTAGAAGAACACGATGGGTAAGGTAGTGAAAAGATATAAAAAGCTCCTGGCCTGCAAAGAAAGAAGAAAGCCATTAGAGTGTAGTGCTTTCTGTGATGGAACTACCCAGTCTGTCAGGTGGGAAAAGATGAAACAAAAGCTGCAGCAACTTATTAGAGCAACAGCCAAGTCAGCCTGTTTAACAGCTGTGACAGGAAACAGGGAAGAGCAGAGCCACAACAGCTGCAGCTCTGCCGCCTGGTGCAGCAGCTTCGGGCTTAAGGACAAACAGATCCCACTGAGCAAGCAGCAGGAACAAATTAAGACACTGCTCAAAGTTTTGTAAATAAATGTAGCGTTTTATTAGCAGTAGTATTTTGTCAGCATATGAGTCTAGCAGGCGTGGGAAATGGAAGAGTTATGAGATCCAAGACAGGAATTTAGTAAAACAATATTCATCCCAACCTCAGAGAGGTGGCTGCTGTCATCTTAATGGGACACTCCACAGCTGAGCAATGCAGCTTTCAGAGGATGGGGTGATTTTTCCTAAGGCAGTCAGTGCTGTGAGTACTGAACACAGGCTGCTTCAGCTCTAGCTGCTAGGGCTGTCTCCTGTTTATCCGCGCGTTCTCTGACTTCCTGAAGCACACAGGACTTTGCACATCTGGTAAAAATACGCTGGCATGGGGCGGAATGAAAAGCTGTAACAAATACAGTCAGGAAGGCCATTTGCACCCGAGCTTCGGGCACTCATTTGCTGGGGTCTGTACGCTGCAGCAGCACGAACACAAACCCTGCTCCCCATGCATGGCATTGTGAGGAGAAGGGTGGAGAGATTTTGAAAAATTCCAGATACAATCCGAAGTCTGGGGTTTTTTTCTAATGACATGAAACACCATGTTTCACAAGAGAAACTAATTCTATGAAAGATCAGCATGTAATTGCTGTATTAAAAAAATTTTAAAAAATTAAAAAAAAAAAACCAAAACAAACAGGAAGGCATTGCAATATTAAATAAGAAAATAGTAAGCAGTAGCCACTGAATTAATATTTTCTTCATTTAAATTAAAAGATGTTTAATTGGAGCCAAAGGTGCAATCATACACAGTTTCACTAATCTAGATAATAAACAGCAAGTCTGGACATGCAAGCAGGATACAGAAAGTGCATGTCTCCTTCAGGGAAACAGCTCTGCTGGCACTCAGAACATGCTGGATGTCAAACTCTGCTCACCTTTTACTTTCTGGTTTGAAATTGAAAGTTAGAAAAAATAAAGGAAAAGGTGCAACATAACAAACAATCCAATGTAAAAAAAGAAGTCTCATAGTACACTTCACTAATGCAATTAAACCAATTAAAATATGGCTGAATTAACAAATGCCCATACAAGAATGGTACTGGTTTGTTAAACCATTTCTACTATTGCCAGTATGTAAAATAATGGGAAGTTATTATTTGAAAAATACTGCAGGAGTAGTTTATTCTTGTCCAGAACTGTGATATTCCTGGATTAATTAGGGTTACTAGGTAACTAGAGTTACAAAGTAATCTGGACTGAAGCTTTGCTTGAGAAAAGAGCCCATGGTCCATTAGAGTGTTTGAACAATAATACACCAAAACCAAAGTGAGGTTTCTCGTATTTGTTTAAAATTCTGTAGTTAAATTAGCTGAATTGGTTTTAAGACTTGCATGAACAAAATCTTCAAGTTCTTTATCCAAAGAATAAGTCTTTAACAGCAAAAGTTTCTGAACTGCATATACTCCCTAAATCACATATTAATCTAATGGAGTAATAAAATTAATTTAATAAAAATGCTCAGGAAAGCACATGCTGTTCATTCACATAACATGCTACAGAGAAGTATTCTGTATGGGATTTAGGGGGATATAGCAAAGCTGAACACAGTTTGTGTGTTCACTAAATGGGCTTTTAAATTTGTATTTCATTTGCCTTTTTTTCTCTGTTCTGATAACATTACACAAAAGTATAAATACATAAATCATTTGACACCAGACCTTATAAAAGACTGTAGCACCTTTAGGGTTTCACTTGCAACTTCTCTTCTGTGTATATAAAGGAGTTTTTCTCTTAACAGAGGTCACTGTCAACAAAAAAAACCAAATTCAAGGTTGGTAGAAAACCATCAGTAATTAAAAATCTGTCCAGTGGCTCTAGGTGAATGGAAGATATGCAGGTCCAAGAGGAAAAAAAAAAAAGTAAGATGCACCTACTTGGGTGCTTGAAAATGCAAAAAGGCTTTTGCCAGCAGAAACCTGACCTGGGCTCAAAAAATAGGACCTTAAGCTTCATTCAAGCAGTAAGGGCTCACAGGCTTATAAACTGTTGTTCCTCTACTTTCCTCAAACTACAAAAGTCAGTAAGGTGTAAAATTTTCCGTTTAGAAAATAATGAAATTGAGATAAACCAGGGAAAACCTCAGGGAAAAGCATATGACTTAAGGCAACCCCATGTGAGTTAGCAGTAAAGCAACTGTGGTCTTAGCAGAAGAAAGGAGGCAAATGAGTTCGATAAGGTTGAGCAGCACCTACCTAAAATCCAGCTTCAAAACCCAGAAAATAGCATTATCTTAAAAGTTATTTCCTTGAGAAGTTAGTGCAACATTATGAAAGGCAAGTAAAATGATACCTTCATGTTTCAAGACATATTTTGCCAAATACTTTCTCTGACCACAAAACCTGTGGAAGCTGGGTTTTGTTTCAGGCTCACACTATTGAGAAACTGGTTTGACCAACCAGTTCTTGCATCATTTGATGTAACTGGATGTTCCAGAAGCGTTCAAGCAGATTTCATTTTTTCCTTCACTAGCCCCTGTTCTTAAATATGCATCTATGTTCTATGTACAGATCATCACAATGGTCAATCAATACCTTTGAAGTACCACAGAGTTCTCAAGTTTACATAAGATGATTGCCTCAGCTTTAGTCTACAGAGTACTTTTGCATAAGAGACAAACAAGAGTCCTCCCTGTCAGACTAGACCCAAAGTAACTCACTTTTACACTGAAATTCCTCAAAAATGCCTCTGAAACACTTCAGTAAATAGCATTTGTTTGGCTTTTCTTTGTTAACAAAGAATCACTGCTGCAAAGGTGAGACAATGCCTAACCCCTCAAAAGGAAGGGCAACGTCTGAAGTCTTCACCTAAATTTGCACCAAGAAATTTTGCAGTCAAAGTTTTAGACTAGTTTATTTTAGTTCAGATGAGTTTCATGCTAGACTATTTTTTCTAGACAGAAAATGCCGGAATCATCGGTATGAGCCATATCCTCGGGGCTGTAAGTTCAGCAATCATTAGGTAAACACCAAGATCTAAAGCTGGAATAAAGAACATACCCTGCACCAGAGTCCACAGAGGAAAGAGCTCCTGTAGAGTCCTAGAAGGAATGACGACACTCTGCCCCAGCTCCTACCGGACAGGTGTGCAGAGAGAATCTAGATACAGCCATGTCTGTGTTCTGCTGAATCTGAGTTTGAACAAGTTTGAAAAGTGGTTTGGTAAGCATTCTGTTTAATGTTACTCTAGTCCTAAAAAACATAGCTACCTTGAGCCATGACCTTATCAGCAAGCTTAAACATCAAAACATCTGCACAGTCTTGAGTCAAATTGAAACATTTTCTCAGAGCAGATTACAGATGTGATCAACGTCTTACTTCAAAGCATGGCAAGTTAACAGTTTCATTGTGGCCGTTTGTTCAGCACAATGTGAGAGCACAAGACCACCTAAGCACTGCAAGATACATTAAAACTCAAATGTGGAAAAGACTATTGAAAGTTATCTACATTTACAGTTCAATCACACATTTTTATTTAACATCAGTATACAGAGGACAACCCCAGCAAGTTATTTTGTAATGTCAAGTATTTAGTAAAGTTCTTCAGCTGTAACAGTGACAATAGAACAGCTAAAAATAAGCAGTATGAAACAAACATGATCTTCTTAAAATTATAAATATACCAACAATACTTCTTAAAGCTTAATTATTGCAACAGTTAAATTAACAATAGTTCATGTTAGAAAGGCTCTATGAAATTTATTCAAGTTGTCAAGAAATTAGATGGAAGTGTAAAAAGGAAATACATATGAATTTTACTTTTGATTTTCACTAAAGGTAGTCAATACAATTTTGTACAGTATCACCTAACATGTCAATCTTTAACAAACTCCAGTATACAGAATCATAAAATGCAGAAAAAATAGTTTAATCTTTACATGTAAATTGACAGTAAATTAACTGACACAAATTTTATTATTGTAACATAAGCAGGCCAGCATTTTAAATATTAATTTAGTAGTTTTATGTTGTTAAAGGGGCAGACATATACAGTCATTCCAAGTACATACTCAAATTTTAAGAGGTGATAATGCAGAACATGGGTTTTCTAGAAAGTGTTTAGTAAAAGTCATGTTATTTCCTAATCCAGACATCCTCATCATAAAGCCTTTACAGGGTTATGATCTCTCCTGGCTTTACTGGAGCCACTTGTCACACTCCTCACACACGCACACACACATACCTTGCTATAAATATCACACCAGTGTACTCTAGGTTTAATTCACCCTGATAATGTGGGTATGCCATGTGCAACTTTGCTACTGTGCACATTACAGAAAGCTTCAAATTGTAGCATGGTAACCTGAAGTTGTATAGCTGTGTTTCAGTTTAACTATAATCATCCCTGAAGTTTATACAGATACCGTATCACGTTGAAAGAAATCTATTTGATAGTACTTAAATACCAGCAATTGAACTTCAATTGTAATGATGAAATGCTCCTTTCCACTGAGGAAGAATTAGTATGTATAGCTGCTCATCTCACTCAAATATAGTACATGAATGTTTAAGTACTTTCACTAAAACAGAAGTCATACTAAAACATGATACTGTACTACAATTGTAGTTAACTAGAAAATTCAAGGATGTTATAATTTAAGTCTACATTTTCCTGTACAATAAGTCAAATAAATAAATTCCATGTGCATTTGTTTTACAAAGTGGTAGGATGTTTCTCTTGCTAGGTTATACACTGCCATTTCACCTGGGGGTGCTTTTGGCCAATCTTACCTTGAGCTTTCTGACACAGGGAGCTCACCAGCAACTTTCACTCACATAAAATGGAGTTGCTGCACAGACAATGAACAGTCAGTTCTGAAGTCCAACACAGAAATCACGTAAGTAGTTACTCTAACCACTGAGTTCAGAGAAAACTTATTTTGCATATCCAAGTACCACTTTGGGGTTTTGTGGGTTGCTTTTGTTGGGGTTTTTTTAATTGCTTCAGCAGATCCTGTAATTCAGTTTGACGTAGCTATAAAGACAGCACAATAAAGTTTACTTTTGTGCCTTCCAAAATCTGTTTCTATATTTCCAGATTAATCCAACAGTTCTGTAATCCCATTTAGGTTTCCCATCAAGGCCTGGGAAAGACAGGGGTGAGAAACGACAGCTAATTGTCACCATGTTGAGAAGAAAAGCTCATACTCTTGTTAAGGCAACCTATTTTTCTGATCGCCCTGAACCTTCTTTCTCAGAAACCAGCTCACCAAAAAAAAAAAAAAAAAGAAAAAGAGCGAGAGAATAAAAATTTGAAACTAATGAACCCTGAGCCTCATCCAACTTGTTCCTAATTGAATTTTGCCCTTCACTTCACTGAGCGGGAGTTGGCAGAGCAGTTCTGGAAGTGCAGTGCAAGAACGGTACATCCCGTGAGGAAGCTCAAGGTATGATTTGGTACACACCGAAGCAGTAATTTGGAAAGTTTACAAACAAACTGTCAGGACAATGTCAGCACTGTACAGACTATCAGCTATCACAGGGATCATGGCTGAAAAGACACTTCTGGACTTATTTTCCACTCAGGGCAGCACAAGCCCAACCAGAAAAATAAACAGAATTTCTCACACACTGTCAAATTATCCAGCCCATGTTTCGATGGCTGTTGGAAATGAGAGGGAGAGGTAGCACTGGCTCAATGGAAATTACATTAGACACTGCAAGCCTCTTCCCTTTTCCATCCAATTCTTTCTTTAGGCTGGCAGTGGCATCAATTTAATGAAGGCCTTCTGAGGCAATGATGGAAGCAGCAGCAAGATTCAGAGGCTTTTACTCTACAGAGTTGGCAGACAAAAAAGTGACAGAGCTTTAGGATCACTTGGGGAGCCATATGTCAAAGGAAGACTAGAAATAGCAACTTTAAACCCCAGAGTAATGGGACATCCTAGGATAAAACAGCTGGTGAAACAGAAATGATTTCTGGTGAAACAGAAATGATGGTATATAACCCAGTAAGAAAGACATCGCCATGAGTGTTTTATACTTTGACAATTCTCATTAAATAAAATTAAGTGCTTTCCTATAAACAAAAAGGATGCTCATAACGTCCTTCTGGCACAAGTATTTTCCTAACAAGCCCTGTAAACATGCCACCAAAATTTAGTTTTTACCAGCAGAGTGAGCTCACTAGAAATGCAAGTGAAATCAGAAAAACAAATTAATTTGTAGATTTCTAAGTAAATACATCCTAAAGAATATGGCATTTACATCAGTGTGCAATATATTAATTTTGAAAGTGATAACTTCAGCATGAAAATTACTTACCTGTAGTTAAAGTTTTCCATATTGGCCAATACATAAATCCTGATTTTTGGTACTGCATACTTTATCTCTGAAATATTTGAAATGTCATATTCCAAATCAAAGTCAATACACAAAAATATTTAAGTTATACTCAGTCTAACAAAACCCACCTCAGCCACTGAAAAATAAATGTGACATGTAGTGTTTAATAGTATTCAAAGGAGTTTTAGAACAAAAAGAAAATGTAGCTCACAATAGCAATCTGAGGCACTGCTGTAATTAATAAGATGTGAAGTGCTGAGTCACAAAAGTATAATTGCTTTAATACTTTCATTTTGGGCAAACATTTTAAATAATTTAGTGTTTTAAGGGAGTACTTTTTTTTTTTTAATTAATGCTGGATTTGTAGTTGTCAGGCAAAAAAAGGTTTTAGGTAACACCCTCCTCCCTTCTCCCATAAAGGGGTTTTCAATTCTAAGTTTTAGATTCAACCTTTAAGTATGCATTAAGATGCAGAACAGACACAGATTTTTACGCATACGTATGTTGTGACTAATTTGATAAGATCTCAAAAAAGCCTACATTATACAAACAATTTTAAGAAAAATAATTGAGTTTTACTTGCAAGTTTATAGTAATGAAGATGTGGTATCTAAATATATACAGTACCTCTACTTCAAAAGTCAGATTTATGAACCAAATGGTTAAAATCTAACAAACAACAGATTTTCATTTAAGTTGCTCAGCATGGCATTACTCAGGTATTACCAGATCATTTCTCTTACTTCAGGTGATAATCTAAATCCCATCAAAAAATAATGGTTCTTTTTCTCAGACCAACTCTGGAAATGTTTTCATAGCTGTATTCCTTTGAACTGTTGCTGGCAAGCAGAGCTATTGTAGCACAAAGTACTTTTTAATGTAAGAATCACCACATTTAGCTTCAGTCAAAATTTAGCTATTTATACATTGGACAGAAGAAAAATAAAATATTGTAGGTGTTCAAGTGCATCAACAACAAGAGTGAAAACTAGTAACAGACTAATGTAGGTTCAGCTGATGGAACAGGTGCCATCAAAAACACAAGCTTGTAGTGGTTGAGCTGCCTTAACAAACCTGACAGGAACAGAACACTGAAACCACTGAGAGAAAGCTTGCAGAATTTTCCCTAACTTAAATACATAAATCAAAACCCGGCTATAATTAGAGTTCTTTGTTAATACTGATTCACAATTTAAGAGCATACACTACAGTCAGTACAGGGCTCACAAGTCTGTGCATAAAATGGCTGATGTTTTAATAAGAAGTGGTTTCACATTAATGGCAGGCCACCACAGAAAAGAATGGAGGAATAAAACACTTTGGTTTTCACTTTTCAGAGGCTCACGTTTCTCATTAGACTTAGAAGCAGCAGCTTTTCATAAGCTACTCTCATTGGGAGCGCTTATTTTTTAGAAAACATTAGAAGGATTATGATTATTTTAGTGTTTGACAGGTTTTACTTCAATTTTTACATAAATAGCTTTCACCATATTGTGGTTATGCTTAAGTATAAGAACACTGATCAATAGTTGAGATGCACAGTATTTATTTCTTCTGCTGGAAGGCAACTATATTTAATAATTGTATCCAAGACACTTCAAATCATTCAGAAATATGGCATGCAGTATCCAAAAGTATGGCTCTGAGGATATTTTTTTACATTAAGCATAAAGAAATTTTATATTCAACATTCATTATATTTCAAGAAAACTATCTATTCAGAGTTCTAGCTCTTTGATGCAGCATTAAGGATTAAAACTTACCACTTTACCAGGCCTTGCCCATGTGCAAATAAATCCCTCCTGACAAGCAGTGACTATACAGTCTTCAAGAAAAATTAACACAGTCAGTCTTTCATGTGCTATCTTTTTACAGATAAGAGGCTCTAACAAGGGAACATCTTCCATTCGGGGACAGAGAGGTGTTCCCAAAGTTTTAGCTGGGTCCGTTTTGGTTTTAGTAACTAGGTTCAGTTTGTCACTGCTCTTGCTAGATATATGTCCCATGCTATGGTTTCTCTTGTGATCTTTCTCATGGTGTCTTTCCTTCCGATCGTGCAGCGATAAGGTTGCAAATTTACTAACGCCAGAAGCAATGGCACCATCCATGACACTGCTTTTACTGCCAGCATTTGAGACTGCAGAGTGTGGAAGGCTGTTTGACCGCGGAAGAGGAGGGGGTACAGAGTTTCCAGGTGTTGTGATACTGTTTCCATTACTTCCTGGGTTAGTTCCACCACTTCCTGCAGGTGGACTTGTGGCATTCATGACATTTGTATGTGTCCTTGCTCTTGAGAGAGGTTGGTGGGGGAAGAGGATATCTTCTGTAAGATCCCACAAACAGAGCTGCGTGTCCTGGCCTACCGAACCAAATCTGTACGTAACGCTTACTGGACGGCTGTCTGTAGAGTTCCTTTTGGACAGTCTAGATTGCGTGCTATTTGCTCGATCTCTGCCAAAATGAAGGTCTTGGAAATCCTCATCGCTTCCGCTAAATTCCATCGGGTCGCTCTCTTCTACACTAGTGGTGTACGGATCAAACGCAACGACGCTGACCCACGATTTGTGCCCGTGGCCTCTCGCTATGACTCGACAGTCCACGAAAGACCAAACCGTCACCAAGTCATCCTCTCCGCCCGTCACTATGTACTTCCCATCGGGGCTCCAACACACACACAGCAGTCCTCCAAAGTAGCTTTTCATTGTACCATGCAATTCCACCGAATCAAAGTTAAACACGCGAAGAAAACCATCCTGGCTCACACAGGCCAAGAACTTCCCGTCAGGGGAAAAGGCAAATTCGTTCAGGGCACCCTCACCTACTGTCCATTTAAGCAGAGGGTTTCTTGTGGATTTGCTCTTGCAAGTATGCACTGCAAAACTCTCTCCTTGTTTAAGTAGCTGGTAGTGCGGGGCTGTGGTACCACAAGTGTGCTCCACGTTATACAAGTACATATTGCCACTGGAATGAGCTACTAGGAAAAGGCTTTCCGAACCTGGTACCCATTTTACACAGGTTACTCGGGACTTGTCTATTAGTCTCTGTGAAAAACAAAGAAGATACACATCAGAAACTCTGAAAATTAAAGTTTTCATGATTAACTGTAAATCTGAGCTTTCTGGGGGATGAGGAGCAATACTTAAATAAAGTGAACTTAACTTTCTAGACAGGAACTATGTTAGTTACTGTATTTGCTAAAACTTATCAGGCAGTAAAGAGGAAATTATTTTCAGACCAAGTGCTTTCAAAGGTTATTATTATGGTCCAGTCACATTCCACAAAGACCGTACTTCAGTCAAGCCAATCTGATATGAATCTAAAGGCAGTGCTCTTTGGTTTACTTTTCCCTGTGTAGGTTGAAGAGCATGAGAAGGTAACAAGAAAACATTGAATAAACTAAAGGGAAAAAAAGCACTTACTCATCTATACTATACAGCAAACAGGTTACAAATCAACAACAGTAAATTCAGGCTCTGATTTTATCTGAAATCACAAATAAAACCCAACCTCTGAAAAAAAACCTACCATCTTTTACTGATTCAGGAGCAAAGGCTGCATCCACAGCGACCCTGTTATCATGTGGCTGCAAAGTCAGTAGGTAAATGCACGTGGCAGGGTGAATTCACAGGGCACCGCAAACTTTCACCTTGGAATCCCCAACCTCCAATTATTTTTCTTTCAATAGCCAAGGACCTGTCAATACCCTGTTACCATTTGATTAAGCACTTCCTTTAAAACAAAATGTTTTACTGGAGTTCATCATTGCAAAAGAATGCACACACATTAAACAAACATTCCTGATCATAATATCTTTAATACTCTAAGAACTGAGAGGTAAAGTTTGATTCCTTTGACTACTGTAGTTCTGGTGGACTTCCACAACTTACCATGTTGTCCATAGCACCACTCAGCTGTAATTTGCAGACAAGTAATTCTTTACAAGCACATTCAAGATTTGTATTTGGCACATTGATTGTAAGGAGAAAGAAGAGCTGAGCTACACAAAAGGCAAGAGTGCAAATGTAAAGAGCCTAAGGAATACCAGAACAAGTTCCAAAAGCCCTAAAAACAAAGAAGAATCCCCCCCCACACACCTTGCTCTGCTGTTTATCATACACAAAAACATCAAACTAATGGATAATACAGCAGCTGTTATCTATTGTGGAACTGTACTGGAAAGCAGCACCGGGCCATTTTAGATTACACTTCTGCTGCTGTCAACCTCAGTACAAAACCAGAAAGTCTCTCCCCTGTAATTTCTCATTGGTTAAAACAGCCATGGTACATTTGAGATCTGAGAGATGTAGCTAAATATGGCAAAGTTACTTCATATGGAGTAGCTTTAAAATGACAGAGTCTATAATTCTGTTGGCATATAGTCTGCAATTCTGTTGGGATATTCCAACTAGTTTGTTGTATATTCACTGATATATATCGTGCACATCTCAGTAATGATGGCATCAGAAACATTAGGGAGAAAGTTACCTGGCACACACTGGGAGAACAAGGGCAGGGAACACCAGCCCAGCTGGCTTCCAGTCTTCTCATTGCCAACATGGCAACAAAAGCACAATTTCTTGCTCTCCACTAAAGCAGCTCAATCTGACACACAACCTTTACTCATAAGAGCACCTGCTCAACTTTTATATTAGAAATGGCACTTTATGTCCTACATGATCCTAAATACTGCAGAGAAACTCTGCAAACCGAACCTTTACTTCAAGGAGGCAGCGAAAAACAGAAGATTACAATTTGCACTGAGAACAGATCAGCTCAGGGAGACAAGATGCAGAGACTTTAATCTGACATGTACACGTGACTACAACACATCCCCTTCTCAAGATACAAACTCTGAAGTTGTGACTTCCGTGAGTTTTAAAAGCTTTCAGCTGGGTTCACAAAGTTCTGCAGCACAACGAAGCCAGACCTGCAGCCAGTAGGAGCAGCAGATGCATTACAAGAATGGTCTGAATGCAGTATCAGCACATCAGTGAGGGGTGTGAGATAAAGAGCTGATGTTCAGTTTGATGGAAGAATAGGAAGTGAAGAAGCTTCACTCACCAGGCAGAAACACTGGCCAAGATTATCTTGGTCGTGTTTTGAAGAACTTGAAGGGACAAAATTACAGGCACAGGCCACAAGTGACTGAAAAATCTGAGGCAGTCAAAGAATATGCATTAAGGTCTTACACAGCTTTGGCAACAAAGATACAGGACAAGTTTATTAGGAAAAAAAAATGCAGCTCAAGGCTTCAGTTTAAATTAAAAAAGGATTAAAAAGTAAGATGAAAAAGCACTGGCTAATTTGATAATAACCAATTACCACCTGGAAGCAACTGAATCTGTGAGGTGTATTAGACTGGTTTGGGCAGTAGAAAATATCAGTGGTTTAATTTTGACACAACTGGAAGGAATACCACTGTGACTACAGATGGATTTATGTAGGCAGCCACAAGCTGCACAGTATCTATCACCCACCTCAGCCTTTCAAGTCCCTATCATCCTCTACATCAACACAATTTTTTAAAAAATTAGTAACAAGACTATGCTAGAGCTATTGCATTTTATGTTCAACATAACCTATCATAATAGGTTGAATTATTTCATGTATCATATATATTCTGATTGCTCTACCACAGCTGACAGTCAAAGCAGAGCTCTGGGGTACCTGAAGCACCAAATCACTCACAGGACAGGTGATGAATTCTGTTGCCTCCAGCATGAGTGCTGGATCTGTAGAACAACGTTACCACTCATTCAGACCACCTTATGCCTACAATTATTCCTAAAGACTATCTAAACTCAAAATATATTCAAAATCCAATAGGCACCTTCATCTTGAAGCAAATGAACTGTTTCAAGCATCAGTGCTCACTAATGTTTCTCTGAAAGGGGCTTTAAATACAAGCCAGAACTTACAAGCATCTAGGGCAAACTTCAATACTGTAACTGACAGAATAAAAATATATTTCAGTTTCAGTGTTGGTTGTAACTGCAGATAAGGTCAGTGTAGGAAACAAGAATTTGTCATTTAACTGTAGCTTACTGTGTGTGGTTTTGGTAGCGCTGAGCAAATCCTTACATTAGCTTGGTAGAAGAGAGGTCACCTCATTTAAATTTCCACCAAACTGTCAAAGGCCACATTTCCATCACGCTGAAGTAATCTGACAATAGCACAGACAAAAAGCAATACTGACTGATGGAAATGAATTCAGTGCTTCCAGCATTTAGGGAATACCACAGGAACTATTCAGCCTGCAACACAGCTCTGCACTGTAGTCACCAGACACTAAACACCATCAAGGCCTGGAAATGTGCACTGGGCCTTGATATAAGTATTCCACCAGAAGTTTTTTCTCAAAGGAACTATAGCTCAGCTACAGGAGCGGGAACTACTCTGTGATATGAAACCAGCTGTTTAGAGTATGTCTGCTACACTTCTTAATGCTTACAATATTATTGTACAAGAACAAATAACACACTTTTGGGGGGGACAGGTGGGAGTGGTAGGACAATGCTAAAATTAACATTTCAACTACTTACACAGAGGTTTTTACCAACAGACAAAAGATTCATTAAAAGATTCTCCAGCAGTATTGCCCACTCAACACAAGCAGAGACAGAGCAGTTGGGACAAGGCCAGGTAGGAAGAAAAAACGCCCCTCTTCTGATCTACATGTTGCTACTTTTAGAAAGCTGAGGAGGAATTAGATCTAATTATAAAACATCCCCAGTGAGAACAATACTTCAATCTTCTTTGCACAAGGAAGGAGGCAACACATCTGAGGCGGGAACGGTATACTTTGAAAGCTGAGCAAGGCTTAACTTCAACTGTAAAGTTGTAATCCAGATGTGAAATTTCAGAAAAGGAAAGAAGAACAAACAAAACCAACCAAGAGACCTGCAAATCTCTCTACAGAACTGAATTCAAACAAAAAAGGAGCAGAAGAACAATCCCAAAAAGCAAGTCACCTCCCCCAAACCACCCAAATTCCCAGAGCTTATCCTCTGCAGAAAATGCTGTCACAAGTCATCCCAGTTACCGGATTTCTTTCCTTGTTAGCATCTGGACACTTACTCCTCTAAGAATGTCAATGGTACCAGATGCTCAGAGCCAGTGGTCCTGTAACTTGGCATTAGTGCCCCCCATAGTACTCCTTCTATCTTTCCTTATTGCATAGCAGCAGAAAAAGCAGATGGAGAGTTTCCTTCTGAACATCACATGGCCAAGACATCACAAACCCTCAGCATTTCTGTGCACTCAGCTTTATAACATTCTTATCCAAGCAAGCCTTTAGGAATACAGGCAGTTTCTGCTGTAATGCCCCAACCATAAAAATGTGTATTTTTAACTTATTTAATATTTTGACTATAAAACAGGAGTTAAATAGCAGCTTAAAATGTTCTTCATTGGCAATCAGAAGCCTCAGAAACAACTGAATTCAGAGCACATACAGCAGCATTTAGATTTGTAGACCTTATTTCCATCTGTAAACTGTTCTCAACTCTAGTTACAGTATTACCCAAACTAGAAAATCCTAATTTTTAATCTTTAACCACACAAGATGCCTTTATCTTGTCACAATGAATAACATTTTTATGTAAGTACTCAAAGCCAATGGAACAGGTGAAAAACAAAGGCAGTGACTGAACAAAAAGCTATACAGGCAAATGGAGCCACATCTACTGAACTTAGAAAACCTAGGAACTTCAATAGCACAGATACATGCATGCAACAATATTAAGATTTCTACTTACTTCCTCATTAAATAATTTGCTAGTTTCTTTTTTAATAGGGTCTATAAGTTGGACCTGGCCTGCAGAGAAGCCCACTAGAAGAGACACACTTTCTGCTGTGGCTGTTAAATGATTGAAGTCGTGGCATGTAGGCTGTGTTCCTTTGTATATCCTTTTGTCTATTGGTTTACTCAAGTCCGCAGCCTGCAAAGAGAGCAAACAGAATTCAGACAGTTTATCACAACATGTGCACATAACCACATCTGTTTGAAAGCAATGTTCACACCACACAACAATTTATGCAGTCACAAAACCCTACTTTAAAAAGCAGCTCTGCATTTATGAGACATCCAAGATCTTATCGAAATGTTTCTCTTTATATTAAGCAAGTGTGCAAGCTACACCTGCCCTTGCCTTTGCACCTACTGCACGTGACAAACCAATGACAACCACACACAAAAGCTCCTGTGAGTCCTCAAGATACCAAAGGCTTCTCCTGCCACAGGAGCCATCACAGAGACAAGGAATCTTCTACTTTGCTAGTAGCACTTTCCCAGTATTGAGTACAACCAATTTAGCATAAAAAATACCGTATTCTCAATCACACAACTCTTGAACTGTAAGTCTATCCTTTAACAACAGACAAACAAATGATATTGTTCTCCATAATCACAAAAAATGATCAACCAGCTCCAAAGAGAGCATTTTCTAGGAACAGTGATTCAAGATACTGATACTGCGATTATAAAATACATTTTACACCACTGAGCTACAAAGTAATTTGCTTCTGAAAACAAAACTCAAATATAGCTCAGACAAAATAAGTGCTAACAAAACTGAGGAATTTCAATATAAACAAATTAAGATCTAGCACTAAGTGTCAGAAGAATCAAAAGGAACAGAAAAGCAATTTAAAATGCTCCCTCACTTGTGTCACCCGTGTTTATCCCCATATCACTTCTGTACAGACAACTAAATCTTTCATCATCCAGAGATTAAACCCCACACATTTAATATGCAAGATCATCCATCAGGTTCAACCTTGTTTTTTAACCTTCCTATTTACTAGGTTCAGAGTCTGTAATTAGAATGCTGCAGATACTCAAACAATATTACAGGCCTCCGATGTAGCTGTGATTTGGGGCTCGGATTCTAATTCTGATATACACTTTTTCAGCATATCTACTCAGAGGAAATCAGGCCAGCAATAAAAGAGAAAGTAAACAAGCTTCACATAAAATTGAATTGCTCCAGAGCATTAAGCCTTGGAGGACAAGGACTGAAGAGCAGCAGATCTTTGGTATTCATACAGCTACACAGAGAGAAACTAGACCTGTCAGTAGGGAAAAATCCCAACCAGCTACACAGGTGAGCCATTTCCAAGGCAAATTTAACTACAGGATATGCATGACAAGCATTTATACACAATATTAAAGCTGCACTTATGTTTTGCAGCACATATTATAAACCAGTTTAATCAGGTGTACAGTCTCCTAGTTAAAAACTCCAAAATGAGATGATGTATTACAATTTCTAAAGTCAGCAGACTAAAAAGTTATTCCCCAGAGTCCAGAGATCCATTTTAACCTAAAAGAGAATATTACCAATACCTCTTCAAGGAGAAATTAAATAGAATACTAGTTCAACTGGGAGGTGGAAAGATAATGTGCATGCCTGCCACAGAGCATTCACCAGCTCACAGGCTGATGTAAATCTGTGATTTGAAGTTGAAAGATCAAATCCTAAAGGCCTTGCAATTAGACTGTGTAACATTCCCTTGTCCTGTATCACTGTAAACAAGTGATGGCAAGAGAGAACTCAGAATTGGGGTAACATTTCTATCTGGAAGAGCAAGCTACACAACCACATAGCCATACCTCAAATAAAGCAGAATTAAAGCAAACCTATGAGACTCAAAGTTCTCTGGACAGAAGTTGCAGCGGGACTCAATGCCTAAGAACAAAGATCCATTCTAAAGGAAATACAACTTGGCCTGAATCATACTGAATGACCACAGCACCTCAGACTGTCCCAGCCAGCAGAGGATACAGGCATTACCACCTTCTTCTGAATCCTCATTGTTTGTCCCTTTGAGCAGCAAAGAATCAATAAATAGGTGGCTATGTTCAAACTATACCCTGCTCTTTTGTCTGGCTGAGGTTTTACATCACTAGCTTTTGTTTTTCTTGTCCAACAACTTTGGCATGACAAGTTCCCTATCTCATGAAATTCTGTGGTAACAGACCTAGCAACACATGAAATTCTGATAAACTGAATCTAAGCACAGACTTCACTGTGCTTATTCTAGCTGTTCTCTGGGAACCAGATGGCAGTGAGAATCTGTCTGAACTTAAATGAAGTATAAATAAACTAATTCAACCCAGAATTAACCAGGCTTCTACTGACAGGGATGCCCCGCCTTTTATTTACATGCAGCTACTGCTTTCAGTTACAGCACAGTTGTCTCAGGGAGATAAGTCAAATCCACAAGCACTAAAGCTCTGCTTTGGTCTAGATCTCTCTTAACTCAAAGAGAGAAGAATCAATGGGCACAGCAGCTAGGAGACATTTTATTTCTGCATGAAGGTTGCTATTGGATTTTGCTAAGAACAAGAAAAGTGCTTACTCATAAAATCACGCATGGGACTCTGTTTCATCAGCTCACCACTAAACCCATTTGCTATTTTGTGAAAGACATGATCCTCAGAGAAAAGCTTTTACATGAGATCTTGTCTGTAAAAAACTGTCAAATCCTAGGATCTGACACTCTTTACAGAACAAGGTGATATAAACTGTCCTCCACTTAGAAATGGTGATGTACTTTCAAAAAACCCCAAAGAATCTTGGGATTAAGTGTTGCCAGGCATGGAGATTAAAAGCACAGGAGCAGACACCCTCACCACAGCAGCTGGCAGAAAGCTATTTGCACACTTCCTATCCCAATGCTTTTAAAATTTCCTTCTGAAAAACACTCAGCACTATTCCAGCCTGTCCACTCTGAGAAACTTCCTCAACTGTGGATGACTCACGATGAGAGCAACACTTTCAGTAATCACAACTGAAAGCAGAACGGGGCAGCTGATGCAAGGCAAGGAATATCAAGACCATCCTTACATGTGCAAGCCTTGAAGTACATCTCAGCTAATCGAGGCTCTGGGCCTGGCACCTTGGCCAACTGATCCCTGTGTTAGAAGACTGTTCCTTCCAACATACAGAGCTACTGTACCCCCTGGGCAAAGAGACAAGGAATAACAGGAACCTCACACACCTGTATAAAGCCAGTGACACAGCTGAACAAAACTGCTGTACCTTGGGCCTCAACAGCTTCCAAGTCCTGTCTCTGAGGAGATTTAAACTCTATCTTGAGAGAACCTCACACTTGCTCACAGAAGAAAAATTGAACTTAGGTTTTTGTGATGAATTATTACTCTAGAAACAAAGTATGAGCCATGTAACTGTTTGAGGGACTTCCTATTCTGATTTAATTAACTCTCACAGCACACTTTTAACAAAACTACTCCCACTCTGCTGGAGAGGGAGGCAGGGGGGAAAAAAAAAAATCTAACAGTCTAACAGTAGCCCATTCACCCTGGACTCATGACTTCCAGTAGAAGGGCAGTCAATGGAACATATTAATCACAGCTTTAACTACATAAATACAACGAAAAAAATGGCAGAAAAAGAACCAAAACAAAAAACAGTTACCTTAGTCTGAAGCAAATTTTAAGTATTCATATTCTGATGTCTGAAATGTCTGATTAGGATGGGCATCAATAACCTTGGTTCTGTAGCTGTGTGTAATTCTAAGGTCAAAGCCAAAGATTAATATCTATCCAAGATTTATTTTATTGATCCAAGACTTAGAGCTTTCATAATAAGATTGCCTAAACAGTGAATCACATTACTTTAAGTCAGTGTTTAATCACACTCCTTGACAGATGTTATTTCTTCCTGTATCTTTTCCTAACTTACATTTGCAGCTTTCTGCAAATTTTACTTGAATGAAATGTGTCACACATTACAATTCTTTCCAAGCTGAAAACATTGCCAAGATATTAAATTAATTACTTTATTAATTTATTCCAGGTAATTTCAATTGTATTCATGAAAAGGCTTCCATTAGATACTTAATAGCATTTAATATTACATTTGCAGGACACTGGCCTTCAATGGGTCATAGCTGTAAGCGACATTGAGACAAAATAGTGAAGCATTTAATAAAAATTTTACTGCCAAAAAATCCTCTTAAGAAAATCTCTCTTGTCCAGAGAATTAATTGATCTTGAACAGCAGATTACAGATTGGCTATGTATGTACAGCTCTAGTGCACAGTAAAAGAGAAGACACACAAGAACCAAGACAATGATGTACTTTTGAAAACAATTTCCTCAGTATTTCTGGAGCTTGGAATTTGTAACTGACTACCTGTAACTTGCTATCTCTTCCACATCTTGCTCTCCAGGGATTTAATGGTCCTTGGTCTAGAAACAGAATGATTTGAGAAAGCTGTGCTTAATGTTTATGTTATAATGCTGTACAGGTAACAGAAGAAATCAACTCTTAGAATTATTACTAAGTGAGTTTCTTTGAACTTCACAGATGCTCTTTAAAATCTGGCTGAAAAAAGAGGCAAGGCAACCCCTGCTGGAGCTCTCTGCTTTACACAATCTCCTGTGAATAGGACAGAACCCTCCCCGACTTGCTCACTGCATTAGCAAGGACAGGAAAACTAAACTTGTTTATTCTTCCTCCATGTCTGCGCTGGTCTCCTCCTCCCTCCTGCAGACATGCCGAAAGGCAGGGACCGCTGAGGAACGCAAGAAAGCAGAGCTACCCCAGGCACTTCTGTAGAATTTTCTGGCCAACTCCATTCCTTGTTTCTGTACAAGTTTCTGACAGAAATACCAGCATCAATACTTCACACTCTACTTTATTAACACAGGAGTGGACTTCCAGATTTTTTTGGTTTTATAGCCCAAATACAGATCACTTAATATTAGCAACAGAATAATTTGTAGTTACATCACTGTTGTTTCAAGCTGATCTGATCTCAGAGCTGACCCTGCTTGGGGCAGGTTAGACTGGGGGCTCTCAGAGGTTCCTTCCCACCTGAATAGCCCTGGAATCCTAAGCTTAGGATCAACCAAAGCAGCAGCAACAGGGCCACTCCCAGATTACTTAACAGGTCTGGTTTGCATCATAAA